AATTAATTTATATATTTTATAAATAATATTATATATTTTTTAATATAATAATAATTATTATTATAATATTTTTTATATTTATAGATATTATTATTATTATTATTATTATTTTTAATATTATTATTATTTTTATTATTATTATTAATATTTCATATAGTTTTTTTGATTTCTATATTTTTCTATTCATAATATTATTTATTAATAATATTTTTTGCATATTTTAAATATATGTTTTATATAATTTTACAATTTTTTTATTTAAATTTAATCAAATTATATATAATTTAATTTTATAATGTTTAAAATTACTTATATAATTTTTTTAATAATATCACATATATTTTAAATACATGTGTTTTATGAATATTTATAATTTAAATTTAATAATTTTAATAAGTATATTTTATATAATTTTAATTATTTTTATTTACTTAAGTTTTTTATATTATAATGTCTTAATACTATATTTAGATATATTTTTCATTATATATTAAAACTTAAAATAACTATAAAAATAAATTATTTAATTTTTGCTATAAAAATTTTAAAAATATATTTAATAAATAATATTCATTTGTATAATAAATACGATTTTTTTAATAACACTGAAATAATATAAATTATAGAATTATAGAAAATTTAATTAAATATCTTTTAATTAAAATAAGTAAAAAGCAAATGCATATTTAAAATAAAATTTTATTATTTTTAGTATTTTTTTTCCTATTCGAAATTGCACAGCAATAGTTATAAAATAATTTATATTATAGACTTTAAGATTATTAAGGAATTATTTCAAAATGAATACTTTAATATGGAACTTCTAAATAAAGCTATCCAATTAGAATCAATAATGATTACATATATATTTATAAAAATCTGCCTCATAAATAATAAAATTATATATCTAGATTAATCGATACAACGATAACTTTTTTAAAAACTTTTAAAAGTATACCCAATTTAAGGAAATAACCTAATTTCCGCAAAATTAAAATTTATGGAGTATAAATATTAAATGTATAATATTTCTAATTTCTGCTGTAACTATAGTTATTTCTAATTCCAATTTAAATATTTATGTTATAGTAAAAAATGCACCATAAAATGGAGATTTAGCAAATGCTTTGGTTTTTGCTCACAACGAGTAATACTTGAGACTTTCTCATGGCAGAATATAATTTAATTTAGGGGATTTTAAATGTAATTTTGAATAAATCCTGAAATTCGATACATTTAATTTAGAAATGGACTTTTTATTACCTTTTTAAGAAGTTTAATTTTAATTTTTATATTTATATCATTAAAAATAGTATTTTATATTAATTATTAAATTATTTTTATTTATGTATTATACTTGCATTTTTTAATTTTTATTTAATTTATATTTAATCTATTTAATTACAAATGATTAATAATAAATGATTTATATAATAATTTGTAAATTAAATATTAAATTTCTTGTTATTATAATTTTGAAAAATAAAATATATTAAGAGAAAATATTATTTTAATTTTTTAAAGAACCTTTAATTTTTTATAATAAAAAAAATATGTATATTTTATTATAAAAATTAGTATTTATTTATTTGCTATAATATTTTTAATAATTAGAAATATATAATAGATATTTTTAATTAAATATATAATTCTATATTATAAAATGGTTTTTATTAAATAAAAATCAATCATAAACCATTTCTAAAATAATCATAAAGACACAAGTTTTAACAAGGTCTATTAGAACTAATTACTTAATTTCTAAGAAATTGATATACTATACACATACTCCTATGACATTACTTATTGAAATTATACAGAACAATCAAATGCCCCCTATCCAGGAGAAAAATAAAAAATCCCTTCCACAGGGCTACAATGAGTTGCACATATAGTAGCATAATCACAGAATTAAGATAGTGAAGAAGCAAAAACCATTTTAACAAATCATCCATTTTAAGGATGATTCGTCTCCTTATATAGTACAAATAATTTAAGGTAAACGTACGGTAATGGTAGAGCATGAAAGCATATGGCATCTTCTTTACATATCATTTACTAATAAAAATTCATTAGTGCTTTTAGAGATAAAGAACTATTAATACTATCAGTTTCTAAATACATACCAATATCCTAATTTACAAAATATTTTTAAAAGAAGTACGCAATTTATTGCCATAAATACTTTTCATCAAGCACAGTAGTAATTTGAATTATTATACCTTATAAATCTAAATACCATAGTCTCCTATTTCTATTTTACGGGAATTAATTATTTTTTAAAATTGGCTTTACTTTTAAAAATAAATAAAGTATCGTTGTTTTCATTAATCTAAACATATAATCTTTTTATTTAATGAGATAGATATTTATCAAAGTATGAGTAATCGATAGTTAATTTAATTGGTTTGTTTTATTGAGGCTATCCATGTTTAAACATTATTTTAGGTTATATTTCTAAATATCTTAAAGTCTATCAAATAAATTCTTTTCTAAATAATTGAGTCTACATTTATATGTGCATAAAATTTCAACAAGGAAAAAATGTACTAAAATTGATAAAATTTTATTTTTAATAGGGACTTTTTGATTTTTTACTTATTTTAATAAATATTTATTTAATTGAATTTTATTATTTCCATATTTAAATGCTTTTTATATATAAAATTAAATAATATAAAGCAAATATTTAAAATATAAATAAATAATATTTATTAAAAAAAATCAAATGTTAATTATTTAGCAATAAAGATATATTTTAAAAAAGTAAAATTGGGATAAAAAGATTTATTTTTTATAATTATTTATATAATTTGATAAATTATGATAAATAAATTTCCGGGGGGTAAATAATTATGAAATTAATATATATATAAAGTTATGATATAAAAATAATTATTAATTAATTTTAATTTAATATTAAAAATAATTAAAAAAATTTTATAAATTAAATTTTATTTATAAATATTATAAATTTTATTAATTTTATATTTAAATTTGTAATAATATAAAATAATTTTATTCTTAATACATATTATAATTAATAATAAATGTTTAGTAAAAAAATTTATTATAAAAATAAAAAATGGAGAAAAAATAATATAATAATTAAAAATAAAATAAATAATTTTTATATTTAAATGGGATATAATAAATTAAAATTAAAAAATGGTTATATATAAATATATATATATATATATATACATTATTATATAAATTTTATATATAATAAATAAATATTTAAAATAAAAAATATGTAAATTTTTTCATTTTATTTATTATTATTATAATATTTTTTTTTAAATAAATAATATATATAAGTATTTAGTCCTAATTTATTTTAATTTTTTTATTAAATATTTTAATTTTTTTTGTATACTAAAAATTAAATTTTATTAAAGTTTTTTTAATTTTTAAAAAATAATTATGTAGCAAATAATAATTGGCCCTTAAATTATAAAACTAAAATATTAAAATGGCTTATATAATATATATATTAATATAATAAAAACACAAAAATAATCTTTCTCTTTAAAGTAATTTATTTTAAATATTATAATTTAAAATATATTTAAACATTATTTGCTTATATATAAAAATAAATAGATTTAAAAAAGTATAAAAAATTATATATATTTAAATAATAATTTTAATTTAAAAATGAAACAAACATATTAATAGTTTTTTTAAAAAAAACTAGTAATAATAATTATCATGGCTATATTATTTCGATATCTAACTGAATTTTTTCATTAAAGTATTCAAATACTAATTTATATATTTAATTAGAAAAAAATAAGACATATAAACTAATAAACTAAACAAAATTAATAAAAATAATAAATACAAAAATAATATAATCATTATTATTTAATAAAAACTAATAAAATAGAAAACAGAAAAAATAAATGATAAAATATTTAAAATAAATATCTTTAATAATTTCTGAATATTAGAATAAAACAAAATAATATAAAAATCATAATATTAATTTTATCCTATAGAAAAACAAAAATAATATAAGGTAATTAATCTTTAAAAAATACATTTATCTAAAAATAATAAATATAGATTTTGCTAATAAAAAAATATAATGTATTTTATTTGTAATAATTTAATTTATATATTTTTTTTATTAAATTAAATTTTTAAATTTATATTCATATAAATATATTTAACCTATTTTTTTTTTTATATATTTATTAATATTATATTTGTTTATCTTGATTTTATTATAATAAATTTTAATTAAATCAAAAATGACGTACAAAATTTGATTTATATAGATTAAAATTTTTAAACTAAATTTATTTTATTTCATATTTAAATTTATTTTATTTTATTTGTGAATTTAATTTATTATAAAATTATTATTAATATCAAATATTAGTACAAAATTATTTTTATGGCGTAACTTTATTGTAGATAAATATCAAAATAATTTATTCAAGATATAAATTTATAATAATTTATAAAATTATATAAATAATTATAATAAATATTGTTTAATAAATTCTAATTTTTTTATATAAAAAGTATAAAATATATCTTAATTACTTAGATAATATATATATATATATATATATATATATATAATATATATATATTTATATATATATTTATTTAATAAATACTATCTATTATATTTTTTTAAAAAGCTTCTTTTATATAATAAATTTAATATATTTATAGATTTATTTAAAATTTTATATTAATAAAAAAAATTAAAAGTCAAAAAATATCAAATGCATATTTAAAATATAATTTTATCTTATATATTAGTTTTTTTACTTGTAAAAATTGTGCTCACACATAAATGCATACATCATGAGTTAGAAAAGAAATTATATGATAGACTTTAAGATGATTCAGAAATATAGTCTAAACGAATACTTTAATATGGAAAACCTCAATTAAGCTAACCAATTAGAATAACTATTGATTACTCATTCCTTGATAAAAATCTACCTTATGTCTTAAAGAATTTAATATTTAGATTAATGGAAACAGCGAAAATTTATTTTTAAAAACTTTTAAAAGTAAACCCTATTTAAGGAAATAACTTATTTCCAAAAAACAGCAAATTATGGAGTTTAGATTGTTAAGGTGTACGTATTCCACTTTCAGCTTTATCCTAAGGTATTCCTTAATCTGATTTACATATTTATGTTATAACTAAAAATGCACCATAAGATGGAGATATAGCAAACGCTATGACTTGTGCTCATAACGAGTAACTCTTGAGACCTTCTTTTGGTAGAATCTAATTTAATTTAAGCTAAATGAGTTAATAAGATGACCATGAATCATTTGAGAATGATCTCGAAGTAACTATCCATGAACTTTTACATATCCTAGGATTTAGTGGATTTTAAATGTAATTTTGGATAAATCCTGAGACCGGATAATATTATGGATAATATGGATTACCTAAAATAACAAAAACAGTAATCTATAGAGGTTTACCGACAAAAATAGTTTTCACAAAAAATATACTTTTAACTGCAAGAAAATATTATGCTTGCCCTACTATGGAAGGTATGTAACTTGAAAATGAAGGAGATTCTGGCTCTTTCGGTTCTCATTGGGAATAGCTAATTGTTTAAAATGAAATCATGATGGCTAGCAAAGTAATGACAGATGCTTAATTATCAGTTCTTACTATTGCTTTATTAAGAGATACTGGTTATTATACTGAAGTAAACGAAAACATGGCTGATAACCTTTATTGGGGTAAAGGAAAAGGATGTTCATTTGTAATTGAGGGATGTTATAGTAAACAAATGTTTAATGAGTTCCCATAATAACTTAAAGTTTAATGTTCTTTCGAAAATGATGGATATGGTGAACCTGAAACTACTCCTTACTTAGATAGATGCTTGATGAAAAGTATTTATGGCAATAAATTGTGTACTTCTTTTAAAAATAATTTTTCAAATTAAGGTCTTGATATGACATTAGAATATTATGGTATTAATAGTAGGTGTTTTACCTCTACAAGCAATAATAATGTTGATTTATTAAATGATGTATATAAAAGATGTCATATGCATTAATGTTCTGCTGATATGAAAACTATTACTGTTTATTTTCCTTAAATTAAAATGTAAGTTGTTTGTACTAAAGAAGGATAATAAATAACGATTCATCCTAGTAGTAATAAATTTGGTAAAATTTTTTGTCCTCGTTCATTTACTTAATTCTGTGATCATGTTCCTATGTGTACAAATCATTGTAGCTCTGTGGGTGTTTGTGTAAGAGGAGTTTGCTTATGTTTACCTGGATGGGGGGGAATCGATTGTTCTGTAAAATGTCTTTAAGTAGTATTAAACAAAGTATGTGTAAAATAATGTCCTTTAAATTAAGTAATAGGTCCTGATAGATCTTGTCAAATCAGCTGTCCAAATGGTTATTACAAACAAGGTCAATAATGCTTATAATGTCATGCATCATGTAAAAGATGTAAAGGAGGAGCATCTAATGATTGTACACTTTGTTAATTTTTGTCATAACTAAATAAATATGGTTAATGTGTAAAAGTATATTGATAATAATAAGTTAAAGATATTTAATGATATATTAAATGTAATATGAAAGTAAAGATATATTAGAAATCCAAAATATTTTTTTTAAATAATATTATATATATATTAAAAATTAATTAAATTTAATAATAAAAACAATTTTTTATAACTTAAAAATATTATTTATACTTAAAAAACATTCTGAATTTAAATTTTAAAAACAGTAATATAAATCAATAAATTAGTTTTTTTATAAAAAACAATTAATTTTTATTATGATAAATATAAAAGAAGATTAATAATTAGAAATTAATAAAAAAAAATTTTTTTTTCTCTTTTAAATAACTTTTTTTTTCAAAATTAATAAAACAAGAAAATTATAAACTATTAAATAAAACTTTTTAAAATAAAAATATAAGGTTATATAAATAGAATAAATTATTATTTTTAAGTTAAAAAAAATATTTGATTATAAAAACATAAAGATAATAAGTATAAAAAGTGATAAATATAATAAAAATAATATATTTTATTTTTAAATTTATTAAAAAATAATTATAATTAAATATAATAAAAACAAAATAATATATAATAATTTATTTTAAACTTTTCTCTATTTATATTTTTTATACAAAAATCTTTTTTTTTTGTTTTTTATTTTAACATAAATTAAACGAATTATAAGTTAAAATATTTATAAATTTAATATTTTTAATTTATTTTATAATTATATATATATATATATATATATATATATATATACTAATATATTCATAATAAAAGAAAATATAAATTAAAATTTTATATTTATTATGATATTTAAAATAAAATCTTATATTTTACATCATCTATTGTTACCCATTATTTTATCAATATATTCATCATCAATTTACGATTATCTTTATTAAACTGTTTGATATTTTTATTATTCTTCATTTTTTTATTATTATTATTAGTTTATATATTATTTATATTATTATTTATTTGCATTTTCTTATTATATATATTCTTATTAATATATAAAAGGTAATTTTTATTAAAAAGGAGTAACTTATAAAAAAAATCTTATATATTAAGCAATAACATCAGAATCTAAATCTTTGATATAATAAAAATTTTTAGAATTTTATCTTATAATATATTATAAATTTTAATAATTTTAATCCATTAAGTAACTTTAAACTTAAGATTCATTACTTGTTCCATTAGCTTCTTTAATAAGTCTATTGCAAATTAAACTTCCGGGTACTATTAAAACTACTTAATCAAATTCTACTGCAAGTCTAACTTCTTCAATATATTAATCACTATCTCCTAATAATATATTAACAATTTTTTAATGATTTGGGTTTTTATTTAGATTTCCTTATGCAATTTTTAAGGCTAAAAGCAATTTAAACAAAACTTCTTAAGACCATTAGCAATCAGCTATATATAAATATATATATATATATATATATATATATATATTTATATCATTATATATATATTTCAATAATTATAATTTATTTTTATATTAAAAAACTTAATAAAAAAAATTATGTATGTCCTTTAGAAAGTTCATTTTAATTGAATTAATTTTAGTTAACTTTCGGAAATTATATATCATTTTCTGGTGCTATTCCAATTAATTTTAATCCTATTTTAATTTTTTTTTTTTTTTTTTTTATTTTTTTTTTTACTATATATTTACCTTTTCTTTAAGCCTATTTTTCGCATCCACTAAATATTCCATTGTCTATAATTACTGCATCACTATTAAAACATGCTCTTGTTAAACCTGCAAAAAATTTTCCTCTATTATTTTCTCTTGCTCCTATTAAATTTACGACAGGGGAACATATTGGTATTCCTGTTCTTTTGAAAATATCAATAAAAGGAAAATAAGTATAATCATCTAGGCATTATACTTTAACTAATTTTGCTGTTTATGATCCTGGGAACATAAAATCATATATTTTAAATTAATTTCCGTTTTCCATTTTATTATATTTTAATGTAATTTTCTTTATTTTTTTAATTATAATTATTATTTTTTTTATTAATAAAAATATATATTTCATTTTTAAGTATATAATTATTTAATATTTTTTTTAATTTATTTTTATAATTTTATGAAATATATATATTTTTTTTAAATTATAAAAATATTCAAATAAAAAAAAATTATATAAAATATTTTTATCAGAAATTTATAAAAAAAAAATTTAAATTATTATTTTTTTTTTTTAAAAAAAAAAAAAAATCTATTTTATATTAATCAATTCCCGAACAAAATATATATATATATAAATTATAGTTAATAATAATTTTTTTTCAAAAAAAAAAAAAAAATGGATACTGAAAAATAATCTCAACAATAACAAGAGTCACTATTAACTAATTGTAAATAATATATAGGAAGAAGAATAGAATGCTAATAACAATATGCAACTATATTATATAGTGGCCCTTTAATACATGAAGGGAAACCTTAAAACAGTGATAAATAATTATGGTTTGGGGTTTAATGGGATGACGAAACAAGAGGTAAACATAATGGTTTAGTTTCTAATATCTAATATTTTTAAACTTAGGATAATAAAAACTCAGGTAGCTTATTAAAATACGAAAAAGTTAATCTTGGAATAAGCATTTTAGATGGAGTTTTGATAAAATACTTTAAAAAAAGTATATGTTAAGACTTAAAAAACTAGATAGAATGTAAAAAATATAAAAATTAAAAAAATTAAAATAAAAAAATTAAAAAAAAAAAAAAAAAAAAAAGAATAAATTTTTAATAATTCCGAAAATAATAATAAAACTAAATAAGAAAAAGAAAATGATTAAAAAAATAATTTAAATATTGAAAACATAATTAAAAAACAAATCTAAGTCGAATTTGACTAAGATGCCTATTTCGAGACTTTCAAAAAACATAAAAAGATGGTCGAATTTTATGGTTTTGATAAAATTTGGGAAAGACTAAGTAAAATAGCAGAGTTAAAAGAGATTTCTTTACAAGAAGTGAGCATTTCTGATTTAGAAAGGGAAAATTACTTAAATACTCTTTTAAAAAACATAGAGACTTTATCCTTAGAAAAGAATTTGCTTTATGATTGGAATTAAATATATTAAATAGGAAACGAGTTAAAAAATTTAAAAAGCTTATCGATTTCAAGCAATTATTTAAGTGAACCTTAAGATTTATAAAAAAATGAAGTTTAGAATATTATTTATATTAATAATAATAGTATTTTAGATAAAAGTCCTATTGGGATTTTTAATAATTTAAAGACTTTAATAGTTATTGATTGTAGGTTAAATTGGAAGTTAATTTGTAAAGTTTTACCTGCTTTTTAAAATTTGGAAGAACTATATTTATGTAAAAATGATATGAGAGATTTCTAAAATATAAGATTAGGAAATAACGAAAATGAAAACTTAAAAAATTTGAAATTTTTGAATTTGGAAAATACAGAAATCGAAGATTTAGAAGGTTTAAAGGAGAAAATTCTCTATAAATTATAGAATTTATAAAAGATTATTTTAAATAAAAATAAAATTAAATTAATAGGAAAACTTCAATATCCAATATAAAATATTACACATATTTCTTTAGAATAAAATTTAGTGGAAAATCCAATTATTTTAACTGAACTTTCTTAGTTTTAAAACTTATAATATTTAAATGTTAAGCATAACCCTATTTCAGAAAAATATGGATCTTCCTATATTAGATAGAGAGCAGTAGCTGAAAATTAGAATCTTTAAATTATTAATGGCTGTATTTTAAAAAAATATGAAAGAAAAGATTATGAAATTTTTTATTTGAGAAAAACATTCGATGATTTCTTCAAATTATTCGATTAAGTCTATTATAAATATGACTATGAAAAATTCCTTGAATGGTCAAGAAAAGAGCATCCTAATCATGAAATATTACTTAAAAAATATGGAAATCCTTATGAAATTTAAGCTAATGAACCCTAAAATATTACTGAAGATTAAGGGCCAAAAAATATAATGATTTCCCTTAAAATTATGGCTGCGGCAGGGCCTTAATTAGGAAAACCAGAAAAAGTTAAAAAATTCCCTGAAAATACTTCTGTTTTGAGTATTAAGAATGTACTTTCAAAACTCTATGGAATACAAAGTGATGAAATGATTATTTATTATAAAGTTAATTAACATGATCCTAATGAAATTCTTGATGAAGAACATAAAGCTATAGGATTTTATGGTATTAAAAATAATAGTGTTATTATTATAGATAAGAAATGATAATGTTTTTTTTTAAATATATTTCAAAAAAATTAATATTTAATTTATAAAGAATTAAAAATAAACTAATTTAAATTTTAATTAAAAAAAATAAATTAACTATATAAATATTAAATATAATAAAGAAAATTAATGTGTCTATATATATATATATATCTATAAATACAAAATTATTAATAATTTAAAATATATATATATATAAATATATAAAAAAAACAAAAATAAATATAAAACAGATAATATAATTTTATTTATTTAAATTTAAATACTAAACCAAAAAAAAAAAATATTAAAAAAACTTATAAATATATAAAGATATAAATATATAAATATATAAATATATAAATATATATATATATAAACATATAAATCTATAAATATATTATATGAATAAATGCATATATATTATATTATTTTTTTATTAATATTTTATTTATTAATTTTTTTTTATCATATTATATTTTATATTATAGAAATATCTTATTACTGATTATTTTTTTTATAATTATTTTTTTAATTTATATATATTTATATAATTTAAAAAGATAAAATTAATCAATTAAATATAAAAAAATAATAAAATTTATTTACATATATTTTTTTAAAAATATATATTATATTTATATTTTAATATTAACTTTTAAATCATAAATTATATTAAACTTCTTTTTTTATAAAAAATATATTTTTTGTTTAATTTGATATAAATAAAATGCTTTTATTTTTATTTTTAATTTTTTTTTTTGATTTATAAGAAATTAACATATTTTAATGAATATTATCTTTAGTTAATTATATTGATTATTTAATTTATATCAATTTAATATATAATAAAAATATTAATAATTTATTTTAGATTTAGAATTTATTCTTTAATAAATTAAAGCTTTTTTATAAATATATATATACATATATTAACTCTTAATACTTATAAAACTGTTAATTTTTTATTATATATAACTAACTTTTTTTTATCAATTTAATGTACAATAATATTTTTATATTTGCATCCTCTAAAATTTTTATTTTTTTTTTTATAAAAACAAATTTTATAGCTTTATAGTTTTTTGTTTTTTATTTTTTTATTTCAAAAAATAATACAACACTACTTTTAATTATCATTAACCTAATTGTATTATTTAAAATTTTCAACTATATTTATTTCGACTTCCTCTTTCCATTAAATTTATCTTTTTTTCTTTTTTTAAGCAGTATTTGGATTACTTTATGTAATTATACTTTTTTTAATTTGATTTTAATTTAATTTAGTATTTTCATTTTGTTATGGTAGTTATTTTGTGTTCATATATATTGGGTTTTTTATAATGTATTATTCTTTTTTTATATTTTCTTTACTATGAATATTTTTTTTTTATCAAATATATTTAAAATTAAATAAAAATAAAATTTTATATTAATTTATTTTGAAAATTTATACATTATATTAAATTATAAAAAATCAAAAAATAACATATTATAAATTATAAATAAGAAAAATAACAACAACATAAAATAAAATTCTGTAATTATAACATATTATTTTTATTCTAATAATATATTAAAAAATAAAAAAAATTAGCATTAAATAAATTTTTAAATATTTATATATATTTTTATATTTTTATATATTTTAATTTATATATTTGTATTATTTTATATATCTTTTAACAAAAATATTTATTAAAAGTTTTTATAAACAATATAATAATATAATTGAAATAAGTTTAAAGAGTATAAAATAAAATGTTCCAATCAAGTAAAACATATTATTTTTTAATCAAAACAAAAAACTATTTAATATAAAAAACCTATATTTTTTTCTCTTCAAGATAAAGTATAAAAAAAAAAAATTTGCAAAATAAAAAAAAATGAAATAAACAAAAAAATGAAAAAATATGAAAACAAAAAAAATTCTATTTATATTATCTAATATTTATAAATAAAAAATAAGGTATATACAATATTTAGAAAAGAAACAACGACATATTATTACTTCCTAAACAAGAACATAAATATACAATAGTATGGTTACATGGTTTAGGAGATAGTGCATTAGGCTTTTCCGATTTATTTTTATCATAATAGCATAATTTATCAAATCCCTAAACTAAAATAGTTCTTTTAACAGCCCCTACAAGACCCGTGACAATAAATGGAGGAATGGAAATGACGAAGTTGGTACGATATAAAATCTTTAGATAAATCCTGTATTGAAAATGAAGAAGAATTATATTCTTTAGAAGAAGTAAAATAAAGCGATAAAATAATATCTTCATAATTAGACGAAGAAATAAAATTATTAAAAGATAGTAAAAAAGTATTTCTTGGAGGATTTTCATAAGGGTGTGCTATGACCCTTTATACTGGTCTAAATTACAAATAAAATTTAGGAGGATTAATAGGATTAAGTGGTTATTTATTTAAGTTTGTATTAGATACAAAAAAAAGGGATATTCCAATTTTCTTAAGTCATGGTAAGAATGATTAAATGATTTAAATTGATTATGCATTAGATAGTTATAAATAACTAAAAAATTAATTTTCTAATTGTTAAATTAATATTGAAAATAACCTCGAACATTCTATAAATGATAATTAATTAAATTAATTAAAAATAATGGTTTAATAAAGTATTAAAATGAAATTATATTATGTTTTTGTTATATTTTTTATAATAAATAAAAGAAAAAAAATTATAATATATATATATATATATATATATATATATATATATATTATATTTATTTATATTATATTATTATTTTATTAAATTATTTTTTGTTTTTAAAATAAAAAAATCTTATATTTAAATTCTTATAGTAAAATTAAGAAATTTTTATTTTATATAATTATATAAAGTAAAATCTTAAATATATATATTAAAATTTTATATATATTTTAAATAAAATAATTAATATTTTATTTATTAACTTTTTATACAATTATTGATTTTGCTTATAATAAATAATAAATATATATATAAAAAATAATATATTTATTTTTTATATTTTATATTATTAAATAAAATATATTTTTATAAATGAAATAATTCTTTATACCATAAGTTTTAGGGTAATCAAAATCAAATATAAAATCATAATAAAATTCTCAAAATAAAGAAAATATTGATGAAAATATGGATGATAATATTAATTTTAATATAATAATTACAAATAAAAATAGCTTATAATCTTAACCTAAAACAAGTATTTTAAAAAATTCATAAAATAATTTAAACGAAAAGACCAGAATAGACACATACGGATAAGAAATAAACAAATAAAAAAAAAATCATAAAATTAAATTCGATTAATAAAATATACAAAGCACCATAATAGTTGAAAATAGAAAAAAATATAATAAAATAAATACAATTACTTCTGATAATAATAGCATATGTGGTTTAAGTTGCAAACTTTGTTAAACATATTGACTTTATATAAATAAAAAAAATTCAAAAAGTATTCGTTTTATGTGTAAATAAGATAATTTTAAATAAAAGAAAAATATTTGTTTAAATAAAAAGAAAATTAAGATAAAGAAATTTATTTAAATAAATTTATTATTTTTAAAATTGATATTATTTTAAATTATAAATAATAATATAATCATATAATTTAATAATATTTTTTTTTCTTAGGTTAAAAATAAATATATATAATATTCTTATCTTAAATTATAATATATTATAATTATATATATATATTTATATATTATATATTTATATTTATATTAAATATATTATATTTTTTTAATTATATAAATATATTTTTTGATATATTATAAATTATTTTATTATTCTTTTTAAAATAAAATTGTTTTTTTTTATATATTTTATTGAATTATTTAGTAAAGAAAATTATATTATTTTTTTTTACAAAAAAAATAAAAAAATAATCTAAATATATAATATTTAAAATTGAATTATATATATACTATATTATTTTATAACTTTTTTTTATATAAATAATTAAATTTTTAATTAATTTAAACTTTTTACATTTTTATAATTATTTTTATAAAATTAAAATAATATCATCTTTCCTTTAACTATAATACTGAATTGATTCTTGTTCTTCCAAAATTAGCACTTGGACATCTATTAGCCTTAAATATAATATTTAGTGTAAATGCAAAAACAAATCCTCCAAATCCGAACTAAAAAGCCCACTAAATAAGTTTCGGAAATTCATTTTATTAATATTCAAATGGACTATTATTATCTGAAAGTTTAATTGCAACAACATAAGGATCCCTAGCTTCTCTAATTTCCATTTCCAAATTTTAAAAATTAACCTCTTCTTAAGGTATAGCTTATCTATAAATTTAAAAAGTATTATTTTTGAAACATCCTCCAATATTAGACATCGAATCATCAGAGTTAATTTATACTACAGCACATATTTTTGAAATAATTAAGTACTCATAGCATATTTTTTTTCCTTCAACAACTTATATTAAACCTATTTTACATTTACAATTATCATTACATATATATTTTTTTTCCAGCCAAGGCTATATTTTAATTCCTTTTAATTTCAAAAAATTAAATTAATTGCTATAATATAAATCACATATATCTTAATTTTTAACATAAGAATACTTATCAATATGATAAATACGTTTTTTTAATAAATCATAATATTTTATCTATATACAATATTAAAGTGAATCTCCTAAAGGAATATTAAACTTCTCGAAACTAAATTAACCAAAAATATGATTATAATTATTAAATATTTTCTAGTAAAAACCTGGATTTTATTAAACATTAAAAGTAGTCTAGTTTTTTAAAAACTATAAATTGCTTTTTAAAAGTAGGCCTTTAGTGTTTTAAATTTATATCTTTAGGTTATATTTTTCGAATTTTTCAGGTATTTCTTACTTGTTCCATATTTTTACGGATTTTTATAATTCATAGTTGTTTAAGTATTCATGCTCGTTTGTAGAGTTTTGGAATATAAATCCTAAAGAAATTCCAATTGATAATATACTAAATAATCCTATTATGTATATTAATATTAATAAAAATTTAGGCATTTTATTATTTCTTAATTACAAAGCATCTAATATTTCCATTTATTGTTGTTTTTTTAAATTTTTTTACTTTATTTTTTTGTTTTTTTTTTTTAAAAAAAAAAAAGATTGAATAAAAAATAAATATTTTATATAAAATAAATTTATTATAATTTATTTTATGTATTTTTTAGATAAAGAAAAAAAAAATATATAAAAGTAAATAATATATATTATTATTATTAAGAAAAAAAAATAAAGAAATATCGATTATAATAAATAATACATTAGTTAAATAAATAATATTAAAAAAAGAGAAAAAAAAATGTCTTTAATTTATGTAGTAATATCCAGAGGAGAAACATTTTTAGCTGACTATACTACCTCCTAAGGTAATTTCCAAAATGTAACGAAATAAGTAATAACAAAATAAAATCCTAATTCAAAGCAATCGTTTGAATACTCGGGTTTTATTTTCAATTCAATTTCCGAAAATGACATAAATTATGTCTGTATGTGTGATATATAATACTAAAGAAGAATTGCTTATGCCTTTTTGGATGATGTGAAAAATATGTTTAATAATAAAACAACTGAAATGGAAAGAAGTTCTGCTATAGCCTATTCTATGAATAAATTATTGTAAAAAGATTTAAAAGCTAAATTTGATTATTATAATTCTAAAGATTGTGATTAATTAAGTAAAATAAAAGAAAATATTAACGAAACTAAGGAGGTTTTGATTGTAAATTTAGATAAAATAATGGAAAGGGGAGAAAAATTAGATATTATTTGTTAAAAATCACAAGATATGTAATAGGTTTCAACTAGTTTTAGAAAATAAGCAATAACAGTAAACAAAACAATGAGATGGAGAAATTATAAAATGTATATTGTTATAGCAATTATTATTATAATTTTAATTTTAGTAATTGTATTAATATGTACTCTGTGATATTAAAATTTTAAATTTAATTTTTAAAAAAAAAATTATCAATTTTTTGATAATATGAAAACTTAGATAATATATATAAATATATATATATATATATAAATATATATATATATAAATATATATATAAAAAAATTATACATATATATATATTTTTTTAATTTATACGAATTTAATTATATAAATAATAGTTAACTATAATTTTTTTATAATATTTAATATATTATACTTTCATTTTTATTATTTATTTAATTTATATATAAATAAATTTTTATATTTAATTTATTTTTATTAATATCATTTTTATATATTTTTAAATAATAATTACATATTTTTTTAATTTAAAAAAAAAATCATTTTAAAATAAAAATACATTTAAAATTATAAATGCATATATATAATTTTTTTTTTTTTGTTTTCTTTAATATAGTTTATCAATATGTTTATTTATTCGATTCAGTTCCTTTTAAAAATATTTAGTTATAAACCAATAATAATGATATATTTTCTTAAATATTCATTCTACCTGAATATAAAAATTATATATTTTTAGTAATGAAAGATAAGAAAATATCAATAATGAAAAATTATATTATAGAATACAATTATAATATATAAGCTTAATATGTATAGACATATAATAAATAATTTTATGCCTCAATAGGAAATTAAATACTTATATTATAATTTGACGATATAAATAATGAATTCCTAGAAATATATAAAATATAAACAAACTAAATTTTTATAAACACATTTACCATAGTTTCAGAAAATTAAATAATAAATTTATATTTTTCTGATAATAGTAAATTATTTTTAATCTAAATATCACATTATGATTAAGAAAGATTATTTCACAAAATTTATGAATCACATTATTAAAATGTAGTACAAAAATTTTAATTAAGAAATATTGAAGTATAATAAAACATCGCTTTTTTAAGTTGTGATATAGAAAATTTAATTTTTTATAATGTAAAAATTCCTACTAATATGCATCTAATAAAAGTACTTACTAGTATAGGAAAAAATGCTATACAAACCATTTTTTTGAAAAAATTAAAATATTTATTAGTTATTAATAAAAATAATGGATTAAGTGTTATAGATTTGAGGATGTTATTTAATTAAGGTCAACATTTTTTCGTTTAAGAAAAAAATGAAAAATATTTGTTATTAAAAAAAGTAAACCCATAATCTATTATAAACTATATGTATTTAGATGCTTAAGAATCTCTATTATTTTTAGTTACTAAGTCTGAAGGAATTTATATATATTTATTAGAGTTGGATTATTAAGATACTTAATTTTTATTTCCTTATTTTTAATAAAAAATATAAACATATGGAAACGGTTAATAATTAATTACTAATTAAGAAAACGATTCTATTTATTTTTTAGATTAAGATGTCTTAAAAATATATAAGAGTTCTAATTATAATTATAATAATAGTAATAATATTAATATATTTAATGCCCATAATTGTCATTATTATTAATCATTGGAAACTCAAAATATATTAAAAAGCTAACATATATTAATTCTTAATTTTAATTATGTATCCATAACTCTTGGTTATGAAGGACTTGTTATTTTTTCTAAACGAAATATAGATAATATGTAATTTATAAAAAGAATTTAAGAAAAAGATACTTTTTTTAACCATCAAGTTTATATTTTTGATTACGATATTTTATGTGTAAGTAGTTTAGAAAAGGGAATTTTTTTTTATAATTTTTTTGATGGGAATATTAATGATAATGTTTTTTTTTAATTTTCTTATGAAAATAATAATAATTGTATGAGACTTTATTTGGTTAACAAAGGTAAGTATTTAGGTTGTGCAAATGGAATTTATGGATTTTATATATTGGATGTATAGTAAATTAAACTAAAAAAAGTTTAATTAATAACTTAAAAATAAGTTTTTGAAAATTAAAGATTTATAGTTAATAGTCTTGTTTTTAATAATAAATTAGAATATGGGTTTTATTCTGTTTAAGACTATGGAGTGGGTGTTTTTTATATAGATAAAGATACTTAAGAAATTACTTTGGGTAATTTTTTAAAAACTTTTGGGGGATAATATATCAATTTTGATTTGAGAAATGATAATTATTTGTTTGTAGCGGATGGATTTAAAGGAATTACAATAATAAACTGTACTGATATAAATAATATATTTATTTAAATATCTGCAAATTTAAATGGATTCGCTTTATATTTTGTTTAGATTACAAATAATTAAAATTATTTACTTGTAAGCTAAGGTGGAAAGGGTCAAATATCAGTTTTAAATGTAAAAAATTAAAAATTAATTTAAAAAGTAAGTTAATTGGAGTTTGGAACAGAAAATTCTTAAAGCATAGATATAAATAAGGAATGTTTACATATTTTTTTTACAGTTTAAAAAGGATTTAAAGTATGTGAGATATAAAACAATGTCCATTTTTCGACTTAAATATAAAAAAAAAGGAATATAAAAATAGCGGTTTAAATTAGGAAAAAATATATGTTGGAGAATAAATATCATTCTAAATAACGCATTTATTTGTAAATTTAGATATTAAGATTTAAGATTATTTCTATTTAGTTAATTATTAATTGATTTAAACCTAAGAATTAAATTAATTTCGGATTGAATATAATAGTTTAAATATTGATATAGATAAAAGTTTTTTGAATAATAATGGTTTGAATACTATTGTAATTTAAACTTCTAAGAGAGTTTTTCCTTATGATTTTTTATCGGAAAATAATAATGATAGAGATGAAGGTTTCATTCATTTTTTATTTAATATTTTATAGGTTAATGGATATTTAGACGAGGAAGGATTCCTTACCAAAAAATTTAGTCCTTTTATATAATTGAAACTATTTAATCCTTTTATAGAAAGTAATTATATGTAATTAATTTAGAATTAATTACCTAGTATTTAGTAAGTTTTAAATAGTAAGCTTTATTTTCATCCGATTGATTTTTATGTGAAATAATCTTTAGAATTTGATTTTAAGAATAAAAATAATTAAATTATAAAAACAATATCAAATAAAGTTTTAGTAAAAATAAAAATAGAAGCGGATGATCCTAATTTAATTTTTTTAATTGATTTTTAATAAAAAAAAAATATTTTATGTTCTCTTATATAAAATAATTAAATGTTAATTATTTTTGGAGATTTAAAGAGTGTAAATATTTTTTTCAAAAAAAGTATTATTATATCCACATATAATACTAAAAGTTATATTTAAATTTAAATTTATGATAACATTAATCCTGATTTTAGAAATTATTATCATATTTAAGATACTCTAACTTTTTTTTAAATAAAACCTCCATTAAAAATAAATAACTCTTTTAAATTGTAATACGAATCATAATACCCGAATGGCTTAACAGTGGAATAAAATAATATAATAAAATTTAATTTTTAAAATAATGAATAATATAAATTTTTACCTTTAAGATATTAATTATATATACAAGAAGAGGATTAGGATTGGGTAAAATATAATTAAAATGATGATTTAATTGAAGAATTTAAAATTAATTTATATAGACCTTTAATTTATTATAGAAAATAATTATAAATAAAAATTTTTATTTTTGATAGATATAGTTAAGATTAGGAAATTATGACTGTTCAGTTTACAAAAATATCAACTTATTAAATTATTATACTTTCTTTGTCAGGAATAATTCTATTCGGAATTTTATTTATTGTTTTTATTTTAAGAAAAACTATTCATAAGATTATTTATAAAAAAAAATATATTTATAGTCCTGAAATTATTTATGATGAAGATGTTTTTATAAAAAAAATATATTTCCTAAATATTGATATATATAAAAGTATTTCAAGTTATTTCAAGATTATAATTAAGCAAAAACTTATTTAAGATTTCTCATAATTTCCTATAAATATAGAAAACTTAATTAAAACTGTAAATTAACTAACTAAAAATAATGAAAAATTAAATAAGGAGAGTTAATAAAATTAAAATATATAAAAATCTTACTTTTTTTCTAGTTGGATTGACATGTTTTATATATAAATATTAATCTAAAAAATGATAAAATATAATATTTTTTTTACTAATAACTTAAAAAGGAAGCTTCTAAAATAGTAAAAAAAAAAGATTGGTATAAGGTAAATAATAACATTAATAAATATTTATTAAATAAAAAAAGAATATTTTGATATATTATATAAAAATTATTTTTATTTATATATATATTTATATTATTTAAATATATATAGTATTATATTAATTAAAATTAATAAAATTTATCATTATTTGAATATAATTTAGAAAATTATTAAAAATCATTGTATGAAATAAACAAATTTTTTACCGGATTTGATATTAATAAAAATTTAATATTCGAATGTTTAAAGGCTGATTTTCTTGGTTTTGATTTTGATTTTTTACCTACTTAATATATTCCTGCTTTAGGCGAAATTTTATTTACAGAAGAAAAATCTATTTATTAGATAAAATTTTTAAAAAAGTTTAAAGTATTTCTTCCGTAGATAAAAAATAATACTTTTAAAATAATTTTAAATTATTTTTTAGAAATAATTTTATTAATATTTCTAGAGATAAAAAATCTAATAGATATCCTAAATGGCTAGATTATTAAATTAAATAAAATTATATTTAATTTAAAGCATAACCTAAAGCACTTAATAATGGAGAATATTGTATTCAAATTTATGTTAACGGTTATATTGGATTTTAATTCAATCTTGTTGTTTAAAAAAGAACTAAAGATTTTTTTACTATCCAATAAAAATAAAGTTATGTAAATTCTTGTCTATAATAAGGAGTTTACAATTCTATTAATTTATTAATAAAATGATATTTATGAACTCAACTTTTTTTATATATTTTGTATATAAGATATATAAATCTATGTATTAATTATTATTTATTTATATATATATATACATATTTAGTCTTTATTTGAAATAATATAGAGAAACTTTATATTAAAATAATTATTTCTTTATATAATTTTTAATTTAAATTAACTATAATTTTTGATATAAAGACAATAATTATGAAAATTTAAAATATAAATTAAACTAAAAAACATAAAAATTTATATAATTTATATTAAAACCTAAAAAAATAATATTAACAAAAAATATCTATATATAAATGATTATAAGTAATTTTAATTAAGAAAATTTCGATTATTAATAAAGTTTAGAAAATAATAAATGTTACTTATTCATATTAAAATTATTAATAGTATCATATTCTATGCTTGCAGCATTATATTTATAAATAAACTTAGAACAAAACCATGCAAATTTAGTTTTAAAATGTATATTCAGATATTTAATTTTGGTTATATTTTTAGGAATAACAATATATTATAAAGATATTTAAATTTAATAATTTAATATTTTAATAATATAAGGTGCTAAAAGTGGCTTTTTTGATTTGATTTAATTCTATACTTTCCTTTATGGTTTAAATTATACTTCTGTAATGCATTGTTATATTTTTGGGAGTTTTTCAGTATTAATGATGATTATAGAAAAATAAAAAGAAGGTTTAAATTTTGAAAAAAAAGATTATATACTGCTTATTATATAAATAATATTTTATTTAATTATAATTTTTAAAAAAGATGAAAGTATAAATACCTTTAATAGCTTTTTAAATGGAGAATTTGTTGTTTTTATAGGAAGTTTTATATATGGATACTATAATGTTTAATATGGAAATGGTTTTGATAAAAAATATGAAGAGTTATTTGTAAAAAATACATTTGGATTAATTTATAGTATTTTTCTTTTGTTTTTTTAAAAAAGTATTGATATATGCTTCGATTAAAATTTAATTTTTGTATTATTAATTGTATGTATAGAATGTTTTTAGAATATTACCAAATTCCGAAATTTTATTTTTTTAAAATATTTAAGAAATTGCTTTGAACCTATTTCTAGTATTAAATTTGAATTTTTATTTTGTAAAACTTCATTGAAAGCTATTATGTTATTGGATTGCATATTTTAGTTAATATTCCTATAAATATTATTATGCTTAAATAGCATACTAATGATATTTTAAATTATAAAAGAATTAAAGACGAAACTTTTATTAATATTCTTGAAATAAATGATTCTTGAGAAAAAAAATAAAATATATTTTTTGTTTATTTGTGTAAAATTTTAAAAATTTATATCTTTTTTTATATATAAAAAAAAGTAATGGGAAAATACATAAAAAAAATAAATCCAAAAAAAAAAAAAAATTTTTATTTTAGGCTAAATATTAGTAAAATTATCATTATTATATTAATTAATAATTATTATTATACTTTTTAAAACTTTTTAATTGATTCGGAATTTCGGCTAACATTTCATTTAATAAACCATTAGTGTTATTTATATACTTTTATATAAAAATTAAATAATTTAAATTAAAAAAGTATTTACATCATTAAATTTAATAAAATTAACACAATCTCTAACGTTATTTCTTTTAGTATCAGGTCCATCTAAATCTTTCATCATTGAGAATTTCTCATTTCCAATTCCTACTATAATAACCGAAAAAGCAGATTCTCCTGCACTTTAGAGTATTTTTTTACATTCTTCTAAATCATCAATTACTCCGTCGGTTAAAATAAGTAAAATAGTATAAGAATTAGGATTTTATCTTGAATTTTATTTCGATATTTCTAATCCTTTTCTAAGTACATCAGCAAATAAAGTCGGACCACATAAAACTACATTTTTAAGGGATTATTAATAAGTTTAAATAACTCCATCTAATCCTACTACATCAGCACTTTAGGGATTTCCTGTTAAAGGGAATCTTTTTTTAAAAACCAAAAATAAAAAAAATATGGAAAAAAAAAAAATACATATTTTCAGTATCATATCTAGTATAATTTGGAAATTTAGGAACTCCTCCAAAACCAAACATTTATATTTTTTTATCATCTAAAAAAAAAAAAAAAAAAAATTATATTAATTTAAAATATATAAAAAAAATACATTTATATATATATATATATAAAATGAAATACTATCATAATCAAGTAATAAATCACAAACATTAGTAAGAGTAATAAGATATTAATTTTTTTAAAAATCCTAAGAATGTAAAGAATAATTATCTGTATATTCTCCATTAGAAGCTGTATAATCTATAGCTGCAACTACATTAATTTATTAACCGCCAATTAAGTAGTCTGCGAATTCTGGTTTAATAAAATTTATATCTTAACATTTTAAATAACCTACATTTTTTTTTTTTCATTTAAAATTTCTAATTCTTTATTTGGATTTTGTAATAACTTTTTTTTTAAAAAAAAAAATAAATAAAATAAAAATACTTCATTAAGTGATGTTCTACATTCTCCTATATATGTGTAATTTTTTTTACCCCAATCTTTCACTACTAAAAGGAATTTTCTATTAAGATCGTTTCTGCATAATAAAGCTAAAGAAACATCAAATCTAGCCCATTAAGGATTTATGTTATTCTATAAATTTTCTGTTTCTTTAATTTAGACTCTAATTTCTTTACCATTTTCCTCATATAGGTAATAAAGTTACAATACAGAATCTGTTTTGGAAAAAAGCTCAACGTTTTTGACATTTTTTCCTGACCATTACCATTATACGACATTAGATGCTATAGTAGAGACTCTACCAAAAATATCTCCAATTTATTTATTATTCTTATCTTCTAAAGGAATTTTAAAATTATTGTTGATAGAAGTCATTATTTAAGATAAGGTAGTTTCACATGTACCTAATTAAGAAGTGGAAAAAAATCCTTTGTCATATACTTCTAAACGTAAATTTTATCTTCTTTAAAATACATATTCCATTCTAAATGCTTTTTACCATTTTGGATTAGGATCACCTTCTAATATTTCGGTTTCGCCTAAAGGTTTATAGGTGTTGGAATTGTCAATATAGAAAACTTTCAAAAATACATTTTTTCCTGTTGGAAGGCCAATTGCATTAAAGTTTATTTCCATTAATATTTGCTATGACATTTTTTGTGTATATGTGTGTGTGTGTTTTTTTTTTTAAATGATTTTTATTTTATTTTATTTTATTTAGATATTTATTTTTACAATTCGTTTTTAAGATTTTATTTTTATTTTATTTATATATATGTGATTTTTTTTTATTTTTTGATTTATTTAAATGTTTCGTGTTTTTTAAAAATTTAATTATTAAATATTATATGATTTTATTTTTTTTAATGAAAAATGTAAAATAATCTTGATTATTAATTCAGATTTATTATTGTTTTTATTTAAAAAAAAAAAAAATTAATATGGTGTAAATAATAATAAATTAATTTATTAAAAAAATAAAACAAAAAATATACTATAAAATTAATTTATAGATATAAATATTTTATAAATTATAGTTTAATATATAATTTTATTATATCTATATATTTTTATATATTCATTTTTATTTTTTTAACATTTTAAATTATTTTTTATTTACAATATTTTATCTCCTATTAAAAACAACTTTGATACCTTCTAAATTTTCAAACATTTATTTGAAAATACTATCATTATTTTTATGAGTAAGATTAGATTATAAACTATTATTAAAAGCAAACTTAGTTTAAACTTCTTAAGTTTCTACTTTTGTTTATTTAGGTAGTAAGTAAGCTGAATTTGGTATATTTTTACTGTATTATTTTATTTTCTAATATTTGTAAGATTATACAGTAATAGGTATATTTGAATCTTATTTCATGATATTTTAATATGGTTATTTTAATTACTAATGACTAATATTTTTATTTGTATCATCATTATTATTAAATAGTAGGTTATTACTATTAGTCATAAAATTATTATTTATACTATTATAATATATTTATGATTATGAATTAGAATAACTATGACAATATTTTTTTTGAATTTTTGAATAAAAATTAATACTAAGATTAAAATGACTTTATTTTAAATAGTTTTTATAAGGTTTTTTCCTTAAAGATTTTTTAAAATAAATATCGGATTGAATATTATTTTAATTTGAATAATTTTATTTTAAAAAAAGACTTTATTTAAAAGCGAAATTTTCTTATTTTTCTAAAGTTTCATCAAAAAAGTCCTTTAGGTTATCATTATTTTTTTAATGGTTTTTTTTTTTTTCTAAATAAAATATTTCCAGCACTTTAAGGTTTTTATAAATTATTAAAATTTTATTAATGATGATCATCCTTTAAATAATTCCAGTATTAACTAATTTGCTTTTACATTTAAATTTATCTCTAATTAAATATTTACCGAAATTAATTTAAATGTTAATCTATATTTTATTTTCCCAATTAATCAGATAATACCTTCGCTATAAATAATTTTTTTGAAATTAATAATAAATTTCCTTACTGACTATCACAATATATTGTAAATTAACTTTTATGTCCATTTGCAGCTTCAAATTCCCCAAAAATTTAATTTTATTCGAAAGTAAAAAAAGTCATCTCTTTAAATTATTATATATTATCTTTCACTTTAAATGCAAATTTATCAGTTATATTTTCGTTGTTTTTCTAAAAAAATTTCTTCGAGGCTATAAATTTTCCTTATAATACTATATATACATACTATGTTTCCTCATTTTCTAAATATATTATTTATTTTTTTATTGTTTTTATTTCCTTTGATCTAGAATATAATTCTCGGATGCATTATTTATTTAAATTTTGGAAAATAGGCAAATTCTCTAAATAATATAATTTTTCATTTAAACTCTTTTATGTTTATTGCAAAATACGGGAAAAATTTCTTTAATTTAAAGTCAAAAAATAACATTCTTCCTCACATATAATAGTCGCCATTCTTAAACTTTTATTCAAAAGGGCTAATTCACCAAAGGATTGTCCTTTATATAAAAATGCTACTTTTATTAATAGATCTCTAGATTCATTTTCTGGTACATTGTCATAATCTTAATATTTTTTTATATGAACAGAAACTTTCCCATTTAAAATAATGTAAAATCTATCACCAAGTGTGTCTAAATATATATTTATTTATGTATATATATGTATATATCTATATATATTAGTTTTTTTGTTTACTTATTTTTATTACTTATGTGTTAATTGGATGACATTCTAGTTACATATATTAACAACATTATTAATGTATATTTATATTTTAAGGATTTTTTTATATCATATCTTTAAAAAAATTAATATTTTCGGTTACTTACATTAAGAAATTAATATCTTCTTATTGCCGGTTTTATGGGGTTTTTTTTAATATTTCTATTGCTTTTTATATCTTGTTTTATTTTATTTTTGATTTTATTTTTTTAGTTATTTATTTTATATTATACTTCATCTTATGAATTAATGCTTAATTCGTTTGTATTATCTGTTATCATGTTTTTTTTTAAAAAAAAAAGTAATAATAATTAAATATATAATGTATATTTAAAATAAATTTAATAATAAAATTTATATTTTTACTTTTAAAAATAAAATTTTATATATATTAAAATATTAGAGATAAAAAATAAATAATTAGATAAATTTAATATACATATTAGTAATTTTTTTTTTTTTATAATTATAGTAAATTTTATATTTGATAATAACTTAAAATAAAATTATAACTTAAATAAATAGTTTATTATATAAATACAAATATAATTATAAATAATTTATTATTTAAATCTAAATTTATAAACATTTTTATTTTTCTTATTATAATATTCTATATTTATAAAAGAAAAGATAAATTTATATATTTTTTTTATTTTAATTATAAATATAAAAATTATATTACATTAATATAATTAAATTTAATTTTATAAAAAAAAAAAAAATTAATTAAAAAAAAAATATTATAAAACTATCTAAAATAAAAAAAACATCTAAAAAAAATATGGATTAAAATAATAATTTTTATTTTATGTGTTCTGAATATCATTTAAAATCTAGAAAAAATTTGTTTTAATAAGAAGAATAGACTTATATTAATACTTCCTATATTAAAAATAATATTAATAATACAGATTAATAATTTACAAGAAATTAAACAAATGAAATTAATATTACATCCAATTCTTTAAGATAAATAAACTTTAATTAATTATAAAGCATTTAAAGTATATTTTTATTTTTTTATTATTTTATATAATAATGATTGTAAAAATAAACATTTTTTATATTTTTATATACTTATAAACTTTAAATTTATTTATTTATTTTTTATTAATAAAAAAAATAAAAATAAAGATATCAAGAAAATTAGTAATCCTGAAGTAGAGGAAATTCCAGAAGAAATTGTTTATTCTATTATCAATTATAATTTAGAAACAAATAAAAAAACAAATAGAATTTAAAATAAAATGAGAATATAAATTAGCTAATTATTTAAGATAGTAAAAATTAAGAAAGTAAACAACAAAGGTAAATTTTTTTTAAAAAATAATTTTTAATATTATAATTATAAAAAAAAATATAATTTTAATTAAAAATATAATTTATTAATTGAAATGAGAAATTATAAAAAATTTAATAATATTATTAATATTTTTTTTTTCTAAAAAATATAAATAAAATTTATAAATATAAAATTTTATATATATAACAATATTAATAATAAGAAAAAAATAGCATTAGTTTATATAAAAGTAGTCTAATTTATTAAATGTTAGTGTATTTTGGAGTTAATAAATTAAAATAGAAAGAAAAAGAAAAAAATCATTATATGATTATTTATCAATTTTTTTTTCTTCGCCTTCCTTATCACGTTAATAAAGAGAAGAGAAAACCTTAATAATACATTTTTCGAATTCAAAATTTAACAAATAAAATTTTTAACATTAAAAATTATTAAACGGAGTTTATGAGCATTTTATATTAAAGAAAAATACGGATTTAAAACATGAAGATATTTTTGAAAATGAAAATTGGATTAAATTCGGTTTTAAGAATAAAAACCCTATAGAAGATATATAATAATTAGGGATTTTCGGATTAATATAGATATTATCTTTTATTACTTACTATAATGAAATACTATAAAGATTAATAAAATTTAGTTTTGGGAAATTCTAACTGTGTCATTTATTTATGTTAATAAGTAAAAATGTGAGTAGTATTTTGAAAGAAAATAAATTGGATAAAATTATTAAAAAAATGAAGAAAAAAACTTTTCATTTTACTAATTAACTTTTTTTTGGTATTTTTTTTAAACTTCTTTTATCTACAAAAGAATAAAATGTTAAATTAGAAGATTTTATATTATATAAAAATTTAAATTTAATTATATCAGAACTTAATAATAAATAAACTATTATTAATATTATTTAATGTTTTTAGCCTGAAAATGAACTTGTTGAAAAAATTATTAAAGAATGAAAATTTAATTATAACATTCCTTTTTTTTCTTTCTTTTTAAATAAATAAAAAAAAAAATATGTAAATATATTAAATTAATTTAGCTTTATAGTATTTTTGAATTAATTTTATATTTTACTTTTTATTTTATCAGTTTAAATTATTTATATATTTCTATATCTAGTTTATTTATTTTAATTTTTATACTAAAAAATTATTTTAAGTTAATAAATAGAAGATTTTAAATATATTTTTATAATTTTTTTTTTTTAAAATATAATTTCTCTTAGAAAAAATTTAAAAATTATTTTAGTGTTTATATATATCAAAAATAGTATATATTTATTAATTTAAAATATATAAAAAGTAATAAGTAAAGATCTAAATAAAACTTAAATATTAATTAAAATATTTTTATATTTATAAGATTATATAAATTATATATTTTTAATTGTAATGATATTCTTTTTTATTTATTAAATCCTTTTTATTAATTTATATAATATAAATTTTAATTAAAACTCCTTTATTTTAATGAATATTTAAACTGAATTTCCTTTTGTTTTGTAAAATTTCAAATATGGGAGAGATTGGGGGAGTTTTAATTTATAAAAAATATATATCTATATAAAATTATTTTTAAATTTTGGTTTTACTTAACTATATTATAAAATTAAGATATTTTTTTTTTTAAAAAAAAATATTAAATATAAGAGTTAATTTTTATTATTAATTATTTATTTTGGGTATTTTATTTTAAAAAAATAAACTCTAGTTGATTATAATTTATTTTTATGTTATTTCATTATCTTTTAATTTAAATTAATATTTTACAATTACAAATTAATCTATACATTATTTAAAAATACTGTAACTTGGTTGGAAAATTAGTGTAGAATAATATTATAATATATTTTATATAAATATTATCTTAATATTTATTATTTAAATAAGTATGAAAAATTTAAAAGCCATATTTAATATTTTATTAACTAAGCAAATAAAATTTTTAAAAAATAAATGAATTTAAATTGTCAATAACTTAAATGAAGTCTGAAAATAATAAATGAAAAAAATAAAAATATTTATATATAAAATAAATATTAGATATAAAAATTAAACTATTGTGTTTTTATAATTTTTAAAACTTTGATAGATTATTTATAATTTCAAAAGTTGAATATTTTAATTATTATTAATATATGAATTATTTTTATAATTATTTAATTAATTTAATGTTTATTTCATTCAGTAATATATTATATATTTTAAAATTTATTTATAATAATTATATTCTATCTCTTTAATAAATATAATAATTTTTTAATCGAAATAAGTAAAAATATAACATATATTTTTTTTATTTATTTAGGATAGATATAATTATTAAAATCAATAAATTAATTAATAAAACTCACATAAATTATTAAAAATAAAAATGTAAACCCTTAATTAATTTTTCAATCAAATATCTTCCGAAACAAAAGAAGAATTATATAAATAATTAAAAATAATACATTAAAGTTCCCATATATACTAAAAAGGGTAAAGCATATTAAATTTAATATTTAACGATTATTGTTTATACAAATATAAAATTCCAAATATAGATTATTAATTATTATAAATTTATAAATTAAATAACGATAGTTTTTAATGGTAATTAGAATAATTTTTCTAAGAAAATAATTTAACATTAGGCTATAATTATATAGAATTTATATATATTTTATGTGGATCATATATAAACCAAGATAATAATAATTTAAACGAAAATTTACAAAGATTAAGAGATTTGATATATTTTATGTTAGATTTAAATTACGTCGCAACTTCTTTTAATAGACTTAAGTTTGATAAAGATATTGAATATAAATAAATACTTTCTAAATGTATAGAATTGTGTAAAATTTATGAGTTTTAACCAAAATTTATTTGTTAAAAAATTGAAGACAGTTTAATTTAGTATTCTTGTGATTTTAAAGGTTTGAAATTAATTTCTATAGGAAATATAAATGATAAGAAAAATATAAAAAAACTTTTGTAAAGGGATATTATTATTTTAATTTAGTGTATAGAAGAAAGTAAAGATTAAAAATAAAATATTTATGATTTATATGAAGATGAAGAACTTGTTTAATATGTTATAGATTATGATAAAAATTAGAAAATTATAAATTTCTTATATAATAATAATAAAATATATAATGAGTTAAATATTTTTAATGAAATAAGTAAATAATAATAAAATAAAATATATTTTATATGTAAAATAAATAATATATATATATATAAATATAAATATATATTTATTTACATTCTTTTTATATTATTATATAACATTTTTTATATTTTAGTCTAAGATTTGTAAAACTAAGAATTACAAGAAGGTAATACAAAACTATTATTAGAAAGTTTAAAAAAAAAATGATTTTATTAATAAAATCTATATAATTTATATATATAATAAAAAATACAATAAAATTTAAAAATTTTATTTTCATTAATTCGTAAATAAATATATTAAATTCTATGTAAAATAATCTGCTATATATTCATTTTTAGATGCTATTTAAAATTCAATTTATTTTTCTGGTTTAAATACAATTTTAATTAACATTTCAACACTAAACTGCCTTAAATATATTTTTCCTCCCAATTTAAAATCTCCTATATTTGATTCATAATTTCTAGCTTTAAGTTTATTTAAATGAATTAATAAAGGGAAATATTCTATCATTTAATCCGGATTTTCACAAACACTTAAATTTAACTCATAAGTATTTGTTTTAAGTAAAAAGTGATTATTTTTAGAAAATTCATACCATAATTCTTTAAAAAAATATTCATTTTAAACATTTTCCATTTCCACAAATTTGGTTAATAAACAAGGCAAAGGGAAATACATTTACAAGGCTGTATCAGTTATGTTTAAAGTAATAAATGGTATTTAGAAAGGAATTTCATTTATGGAAATTGTAAAGGAAAATATATGTTAATTTTAGCCTTTTTAGATTTAAAAAGAGTCTGTATTTTCAGGCTCTTTCCAGATTTATATAGATGAAATTTCAAGGAGATTTTCTATATGTATTTGTGCGTTTAAACAGTTATCATTTTATTATAAAAAAATGGAGTTTTCAGGATTTATATATAATCCTATTTTAATAATGCATTTTTAAGAAGAAGGTATAACATCAAAATATGTAATTTATGAAATTTAAAGGAACTCGGTTTATTCTAAAATTGTTTGGAATTTCAAATTGGATATTTTAAATGAATTTTTATCAAACAAATTAAGTTATTGGAAGTATTTTTTTTAAAAAAATATTTTTTTTGAGTTTTTTTTTTCTTAATATGATTTATTTTTGAGTTTTTTTTTTTCATCATAGTATTATTTTGGTGAATTAAAAGGAAAAAGAAGTTCTTTATTTAATTTTTCTTCATTTTTTTTTTTGTTAGTTTGTATATTGTTTTATATATTATCTATTTATTCATATTTTCTAGGTAAAAAAATGTATTTTAAAGGATTTTATTCATAAAAACTATTTTTTTATGAATTTTTTAAAATTTAAGAAAGTTTCGATTTTTTATCACTTTTTAAAGGCGATTAAAATTATGAAACGAAATTATTTTCTTCGTTTTTTTTATATTGGGAAAAAAAATAACTCTCTTTTTCTTTTTTCTTTTCTATTATTTTGTTTAGCTTTTGGTCTAATGAGTGAGTATTTTCGATTGTTTTTTGTAAATTTTCAAGTATTTATTACTAGTTTTGGCTATTTTAGATATTTTGAATCTTATTTTGTTGATCGAGTATTATTTTTTGTTAACTTTCGAGATTTTCTTAAAATTATTGAATATTTTATTCTTATAAGAGGTCTTTTTATTTATAATTTTGGAGTTTTTTTTCCAGTTTTAAGATTTTTGATTTTAAGGCAGTGTTTTCTTCTTGTAGTTTTGTTATTTATTGAAGATCTTGTGAATTTTCAAGAATGTTATGATGATTTTCTTATATTTTATCTATATTTTCTAAATCGGATATTTTTTTTTATTATAAATTTTTATTTTCATCAATTTTGTTTTTTTCGAATATTTCTAATTCCAATTGTTTGTTCTTTTGAAGTTCTTAATTATATGATTTATTTAAATTTTCTATTTTTTCGTTTAAACTTTTATTGAATTCTATTAAATTTTTATTTTTTTAATTTAAATTTTCTATTTTTTAATTTAAATTTTCTATTTTTTGATTTAGAATAATATTTTCTTAATTTTTTTCATTTTGTAAAATTTCATTTTAAAGATTTTAAAAATTTTATTTTTCATTTGTATTATTTTCAAGGTTTTTTTTTAAAAAATCATCCATTGTTTATTTTTAAATTTCAATTTCTTTTTTTTTATTTTCGTTTTCGATTTTTTAGTTTTCGTTTTCAATTTTTTAGATTTCGAGTTCCTTTTATTTATTATCGAGTTCCTTTTATTTATTTTCGAGTTCCTTTTATTTGTTTTCGAATTCCTTTTATTTATTTTCGAATTCCTTTTATTTATTTTCGAGTTCTTTTTATTTATTTTCGAGTTCTTTTTTTTATATAAATTCAGTATTTTTTTTATAATTTTCAAGGTCTTTTTATAAAAAATCTTTTTCTTAAGAAATTTCCTCAATTTTTTTTTCTAAAAATCAGTGTCTTTTTATATTTTTTCATTGTTTTTTTTAAATTTTCAATTTCTTTTTTAAAATTTCTTCTCTTTATTACATTTATTCAGTATTTTTTTTAAATTTTCATCTTTTTTGGAATTTTCAATTTCCTTTTTTTAATTTTCAATTTCTTTTTTTAATTTTCAAGTTCCTTTTTTTAATTTTCGGATTCTTTTTTATAATTTAAAATTTGTTATTTTAATTTTTCGTTTTCTTATTAAATTTAATTAAGTTTTTCATTACTTTTTTCTTATTATATTTAAAGTTCTTTTTATAATATATTTGATGACTATAAATTATTATTTTTTTCTTATTTTTTAAGTGTTTCATTTAATTAATGTTATAAATTTTCATGTTGTTTTTATAAATTTTCATATTTAGAATTAGTTTCTTATTATTGTTTTAATAAATTTTCTTTTTCCTTTATTAAATTATCTTTTTCTATTTAAACATTTTATTTTTGTTTTAATAAATTTTATTTTTCTATTTCTTAATTTTTTTCCAATATTTCTTTTTCTTTATTCAAATTTTAAATTTCTTCTTATAATTTTTATAAATTTATTTTATTTTCATTTTTTAATTTTCTAATTATTCTTATTCCAAATTTTATTTATTTTTACCTTTTTTTCTAAATTACTCTTTAATAAATCATTCTAACTTTTAATAAAAGAATTTTATCCTTTTAAAAGATTTCCTATTTTTTAACAAAAATCTGTATATTTTATTTTCTTTTGTGAAAATTCTTCCATTAATGCTAAACCTTTTTTAACAAATTCATAATCATTTTAAAAAGCCTATTTATCTTCTTAAAAAAGGCTATCGAAATTAATTGCTTATACAGTTTTTTCATATTCAGAATAAAAAACATGACATTTTTTAAAATTTTCTTAATCTAATTATGATTCTTATAATTCAATAACTTATTACAGATACTCTTTACTTTAATTTAATTATAACTACATGTCTATTAACTCTTCCATATATATTAATAAGTTAATTCCATCTTTTCCATCGTGATTTAGAATATCTTTTTATTGAAATTAAGTAAAACTTTCAAAATCGGGAAACAATACTCCAGAATTTAAACAATCCTAGTAAGCTAAAAAAAATTTCGTTTTTGTTTAATTACTATTCTTATGAAACCAAGATGTCCAAACAAATAAACATTCCTACATTGTTTATAAAATAAAAGATCCATATTTTTTTTGTTCTTCATCTAATTATATATGTATATAAATAAATGTATAAATATTAATAAATATTTAAAAATATTTATAAATAATTATATATATATATAAATATATATATATATTTTTATATATATATATATATAAAAAGTTGTATATTTTTTACTTGGATTTTATGAAAAATAGGTATATCCATATATTTCATCGTCTTTGTGTTATATTATTGTTTTTTTCATGTATTCTAAAAATATTATTGATACATATTATAATACTGGTGTTAGCGATAAATCCATTAATTCTTTAATTAACTTTAATTATTATTTATAAGATTATATTTTTTTATTTATTTTATATTACTATTAAACTGCTAACTTTTTGCGCATAATCTTCATTTTATTAAAGATTTGTATTCATTATTTCTGTACATGCTTCAATTAAGCCTTAAGTAATATTCCTTAAAATAAATAAAATATAAATATATATTTATATTTATTTATCATATAAATATATATATGTACATATAAATATAAATATTAAAAATTTTATAATATTTTTTTTTTTTAATATATTTTATCTTTTACGGCGTTTGTTTTTTCTTTGATGTTATTTCTTAAGCCTCTTTTATTACTTATTATTTTAAATCTTCTTTTTTTTTTTTAAAGTCTTTTCGGTTTTTAATTATTTATGTAAATTTTTTTTTATAATCATCTTTTGATGACATTTTTATTATAATTTTTATTTTATTTTATTATATATTTTTAATATTTTATTCTAATAAAAAAATAAAAAAATGTAAATATATTTATTTATATATATTAAAATTACAAAAAAAATAAAACTTCTAATTTTATTTTATAAATAAAAAAACATTCGATAATATTTGATTATTGAAAATTAGATTAATTTGTTAGATAAAAATATGCATTATTCATTTAGATTAAAATTTTTTCTATTTTTAATTAATAAATAACTTAAATAATTTCTTATTGTATGCTTATTTTAACTTTATAAAATTTGCCTTTTTTTTTAAATAAAAATATATATAAATCTTAACTTACAAATAAAATATTAATAGTAAATTGTTTTTTTTTATTATTGTTATTAAAACATAAATTATTTAATATATATATATATATATATATATTTATAGCATTTATTTTTATTTATAATACAATAAATGATTTAAATTAATTTTTATAATATAAATAAATATTATTTTATTTGATATAATAGTATATAAGCAAAATAAAAAATATAAATAAATAATTAATTAATTAAAAAAATTAATATTTAAAAAAAAAAAAAAATATAAAAAAAATATAATTAAATATATTATATTTTTCTTTTATAATAAAAAGAAAAAAATCAACACATTTTCTCAACAACATCGGCACTATATTTTTCATCATTTACTGCACATAATTCATAAAGATATCTATAATTTCCATATGTTCCTTCTGGCATAACTCCACATTTTTACTTGAAAATCTCTACTATCTTTTTATAGCAATCGAAATTAGTACCTACATAGTGTTCTCCACTTAGCTTAGTTTTATTTTTTAATTCAATAAATCTATCATTAAAGTATTTAATAGACTATAATTCAACATTAAGATTACTGAAATTTTAATCAGTAGGGTTTTTTTTATATTTATTAATCAAATACTATAATTTAACTTATCTAGATTCAATATTTTTTGAGGAAATATTAGATTCATTATCATTTTTTCCGAAAATATCTTAAAATTAAAGTAGTTTATTTCTAATGAAACTTCCAAAATAAGATTATTCTTCTGTTTTCTTGTAGTGTCCCAAAAATGTACTAATAGGAGTTTTTGCAGACCAACTTAAATCTCCATATTACATAACATGAGACTCGTTAGTTTATTTTTTTACCTTAACGAATTATTATTATAGAGTATATTTTTCACTTTTATTATTTTATGTATCTTCCATCCATTTAACCGAAAACAAATCACCTAAGCAAGTACCAAGGTCTTTTCCATTTACATAAGCATCACTATCACAATATGTAGCATAAGAAGATTCAGATTCATTTGCAGCTGTAACTCCGTAAATATTTAAGTCCTTAGGTAAATCATGGAACATAGATCCTGATTCACAGGCTTCTAAGTAATAAACTAATTACTTATACATTTTTTTTGAGTGCATTTTTTTAAAGGCTTTCAATAAATCAGAAGCGTATAAATCATTGTTTGGGAAAGCTATCAATCCAGGGGCTCCATGATCGAAGAAAGTTAAAAAGACATAATCGTTTTCACCACTAGTTAAAACACGACCACTACCAATTCCTTTAACAGCTGTACTATTTCCTTATATAACAGATAAATAGTTTTCAGGTTTTACATCATCTCCTTCATAATCAATTACACAGCCTTTGTTTATATCTACACCAGGTTTTTTGTAGGTAGGTTTATTAAAAAGTTGATTAGGGAAGGGATTCTCACTATCTTTAGCAACATCATTATACGAAAATGTTATTATATTTTTAGCTTTATAGCCACGACTAATTAATATTTAATAGGAGTGACATAAGTCAGATTAGTGACGATAATTCCAATAACCGTTTGAGCCTGCAACAAGAACAGCGAAGTTATCAGCTTTTATTAATAATATGAGAGTTGCTAATAAGAATAATGATTTTAAGGATTTCATATTTTTATTTTTTTTATGTTTGTATTATTGAAAATTTTAAAAATAATATATTATAAGATATACATAAATAAATATAATTAATTCTTTTATAAACTTTTTTTTTATATAAATTGTGGGTTAGTGTTTATAAGTTAAATTTTTTTATGAATATTTCTTTTATAAAATTAAAAAATAAATATAATATATTTATGAATATAAAAATTGCTATTTTATAATAAAACTTATTTTATATTAATGTAAAAATCATATATAATATTAGCTTGATATATATATATATATATATATATATATATATATATATATATATATTATATTGTTTATCAATGAAATATAGAAAAAAAATATTTTATTTAAATAAAATTTTAATAATTATTCAATTATAATAAAAAATTAAATATTTAAATATTATTTATTAATTTTATATATATTATTATTTTCTATTATATTTTTATTAAGTTTTTTAATTATAAAAAATATTTTTAGTTTGTTTAATAATAAGACCAATTATCTATTATTGCATTATTTTAATTCATGATTTTAAAAAATTTAATAAATAATATAATATATCTTTAAAAAAATACTTATATTTACATAAATATTAAATATTAATTGCTTTTTTATTTATTATTATTATAAAACTTTTTTCTCATTAAATTAATAATAATTTGATTTGTTTTTAATTGAAATAATTAATAATCTGAATTTAAGAATAAAGTTATTAAATTTCATTCATAATTAATTATTTGGTAAAACAAAACAAAAAATATATAAAATATTATCTAATTTTAAAAACAAAAGTTATGTTTAAATATATATTTATATTAAAATTATATTTTCTAAAAAATAAATTATATTAATTATAAAACAAAAAAGTTTAACTTTAGAAAAATACTTATATTGATTTTTGTATTAAAACTTTTAAAAAGCTATAAAAAAAATGGTATATTACATTTTTAATAAATATTTTTTATCTAAAATGTTAATAATGATAAATATATATATAACAAAAATACAATAAAATATATATAAAAAAAATATTTATAATATAATTAAAATTATAAATATAAAAATAGAAATAAATGAAATAAATTATAAATATAAATGTATAATATGTATTATTAATAATTATTATAATGATAATAATAATTATAATAATAATTATTATTATAATTTAATTTTAAAAATATATATATTATAAATTTAATAATATTTATATTTAATATATAAAATATTTTATTCATTTATAAAATATTTTTATTAATATAGAAAAAACTTAAACTTTTTAAAAATTATATAATTATAAATTAATAAATATTAAAAAATATTAATTATTAAAATAGTATTACAATTTATAATAAAAAATTTAATTAAATTAGAATATTGCATTTATAAATATTAGCAAAAAAAAGAATAGTTTATAAATTTAAAAAAGGTTTAATAATTATATTATATATTAAACCATTTTTTAAAATATAATATAGTTTATTTTTATAAAGAATTTCTATATAGATTAGTTTTTTTAACAATGTTATTAAAAATAAACATTTATAATTGCAAATGATGTTTAAAGAAAATAAAAAACTTCTTATTAGTAGAGAAAAATTTGGTAAAAAATAAAATTATTTAAATATATTTAAAATTAAAATTTTTTTTTTAAAAAAAAAAAATAAAAACATAAAAATATAAATTTATATAAATTTATATAAATATATATAAATATATATATAAATATATATTTATATATATATATATAATATATAGTAATTTTATTAATATTTTTAATTTTTTATATGATAAAACATTATTAAAATTAATTTTTTTTAAAAAAAAAATTTTAATAAATAATAAAGTTTTCGATATTAAGTATTAAATTTTTATATATATTTTATTTAAAATTATTCTTTATTTCTTAAACATTTAATTTACTTAAATTCACAATATATTTTTAATTATTTTTTTTATTTATTTTTAAAAATTATTATCATTTTTTTTTATTATTTTTTTTTATAATTTTATATTAATTTATAACTATATTCTTATATAGTTTTTAGTAATTTTATAATATATTTCTTAATTAATGTAAATTATTTTTATTATTACAAACAATCAAAATAAATAAAACAATTAATAATTAAATAAAAATAAATATAAAATACTTGATATACAAATTAAAAATGTAAAACTCATAATCAGAACATGATTAACACTAAATAAAAGAAATAAAAAAAATACAAATGGAAATAAAATTACTAATAAAATCTTCAAGAATTATGGCCCAAAATAAAAAAACGCGTGATTTTTCTTTAATAAATAACGATTAAAATTAATAACTTAGTATACTAATGCAATCTTTAAGTTATAAAACAAGCAACCTTTCTGAAAATTTAAAAAATAAATTAACATAAGAAGTAAAAAAATATTCAAATTTTCAAAAAAAAATATATTTAATATAATTTTTAGAATGATTTAATATCATAAATATATCCATAAATAAATTCTAATATAGATATGACGAATATAAATAATATAGCAACCAAATTATTTAAAAACTAAGAATAATTAAATTAAAATAAAATATCATAAGAAACATTAGAAAAACCATAAAAAAGGAGTTTACATTCATCTATTTCCGAAAAAACATAAGCATTAGAAATTCCAAATAAATAATAAAAAATAAATAAAAATAAATAAGGAAATTGTAAAATTAAATTAAGTCATACTCAAAACCATTAATTGAGTTTAAATAATTGCAATGATATACAAAATTCATAATTATTTTTAAATTTCGTAAAATAAATAAAAATATATATATATATATATATATTAATATATATTAAAAAAAGTCTACTTAATTATAATCAAATAATACATAAAATAATATAAATTAAAATATTAGTATATTAAGTTAAATGAAAACTTAAAAGAAAAAAATTAATTTGATAAAACCAATAAAATATACTAGACTTTCATAACCAATAATATTGCCGAAACATATAAGAGACAATCCTTTTTATAAGCAAGAAATAAAATAAAGCGATCTATCTATAGGAATTTTCGAATTAATAAATAAAGGTATTATTTCGAAAGATATGAATGTAAATTCTGCTTTTTAAAATGATTTTCCTATAATAAGAACATAAAAAATGGAGTATATTCTTTTTTTTAAAAAATTAAAAAAATATTTTTTTAAAATTAAAAAAAAAAAAAAAATATGAAATTAGGTTAAATCATAGTTTAAATAAAAACTAGAAATTTATTTTTTAAAAAAATGAAGAAGAAGATTAAAGAAAATATAAATTAGATTTAAGTATTAATAATTAATCGAATTTATTAAATAATATGTCAATAATAAATTAATAAGCATAAGATAATGTTAAGAAAAATGATTTTTTTTTAACTGCGGAAGACTAAAAAGATATAAGTTTGATTCAAAATATCAATAATAATAATAGCAATATTTCACTAAAAAATACATCTGAAATTATCTAAATTGCATCTATTTCAAAAGAAAATAAAGTATTAGATGGACTAATATTGAACGAAAATCCAGATATTATCCATAAGTTGTCTAAATTAAATCAAGATTAAATTCAAATAAAATAATTGCATTTAAGCAGTAATTAATTAAATATAGAAATTTAAGACGGAAAAATTAACTAGTTTTCTGATGCTTATTAAACATTAAAAATTAACTTTGGATTTAATTGGGGAAGAATTTTATAAAATTTGTAAAGTTTATAAAATATTTGTGTATAATATAAAATCGATAAAGCCTAAATTGATATAGTAAAATTGGTAAAAATAAGTTAAGATTTAACAAAAACTTATATTGATGATATTGTAGAATGTCTAGTAAGTAATTAGTTAGTTTTAAAACTCATTTAAGATTAGAAATATTTCAAAAATCAATTGATGACAGCTAGTATGGCTCATGTGAAAATTAATATGTTTTTAAGAATGTGTATTTCGAAAAAAATTAAATTAAGATTGCAATAAAAAGTATATTATTTTATAATATTTTCTAATATTTTTAAAGATATTAAATATTATCAAATAATAAAAATTATGTTTATTTTGGATGAGATACTATAATATGAGAATTTAAAGAAAAAAACTTATTGTCAAAAAAAAACAAAAACATGATTAAATTTAAAAAGAATTTGAATAAAATTGGATTACAATTAAAGAACAAAAACGATTTGAAATTCATATTAATAGTTTTTCTTTAAATGTAAAAAATCAAATATAAATATAAATATATATATATATATATATATATATATATATTATTAGAAATTTTAAAGAATTACTATTTCTAACATATAAGAGAGACAAAATTCATAAATTTTAAGAATATTTAATTTAAAAGATAAAAATGTAAAAAAAATATATAAAATATTTTTAATATTTAAAAATTATAATTTTTTAAAAAAGGTGAATTTAATTTATATTTTACCAAAAAAATAAGAAATATAATTTATAAAATATTATTATAAAATATGTGCAATTATCGAAAACAGTGCTTTTATTGATCGAATTCATTTTATATTTCCAGAAAACTCTGAAACATTTTCCTAAAATTTATCATTAACAAAACTACTTTTATATTCTCCTTTAGCTTTAAAAAAAATAAGATAAATAATTAAAAATACTACTTCTTATTTAGTACCTGGAATTCCAAATTAAGAAGATAAATTGCTTGCAATAGAACTAAATATCCCTCTCTTATGCGGAAATATAGATAATGTATAAAAATATAATCTTATAGAAAATTAAAGGTAGCTATTTAAAAAACTAGATTTTCCTATACCTTTAGGCGAAGAAAATATATATAACGAACAAGATTTGATATAAAAACTATGTCTTGGCATTATTTAAAATATGCAAATCACTACATGGTATATTAAATTAAATGGTGAAATTAATAGTAGAGGTTTGGCCACTTTTAAAATAAAATCAATAAAATATTTTACTAAATTAAGAAATAATCCATAAAAAATATTAAATGAAAAAAGAATTTAAAAAATTAAAAAAATAATAGCTGATGTAAATTTTATTTATATATATATATATATATTTATATATATATATATATATATATTTTCCCATAAATTTTATTAAAAGATTTTACCATTAAAATTAAAACCATATATGAACAATTTATTTATAAATTATTAAGAATATTTAGATTAAATAGAATAAGTAGGATGTATAATTGAAGCAAAGCCAAAATAAAAATTAAATGGAGCTTGCTCATTAATGTTTTTTATAGAACCAAGTGGAAAAAATGTTTAATTTATAGCATCTTTTGATAAAATTTAAATAAAAAATTAATGTTGTGTAGGAGTGTCATATCCTCAAAAATTAATCTAAAATTTAAATTCTAAAATCTTGTGTGATAAAATAGGATTTGAATTATATAAAAATAATGTTTATGGGTATTGTAGGTTAGATTTGATTGTATTTAATGAAAAAAAATTAGGAAATAATAAAGAAAAAAATAAAGGAAATTAATAAGTGCTTTTTGAAATTATTGGAATGAATTGTTACTTGGACTAATTTTGTAGTTCCTATTTTCTATACGATTATTTTTTTAATAATAAGTAAATTGTGTAATAAGATTTAAATACTAAATTTTAGAAAAATAATAATTAATAATAGGAAATAGTTAATAGTTATATTTATATTCCGCTTGTTTTTCATTTAGGGATTGTTCATTATGAGTGGATAGAATTCTTTGATAAATGTAAAGATTCTAATATTTAGTTTGATTTTAAAAGTAAAGTAGGGACATTATTTTTACCTCCAGGATAGTTTAAATGTGGAATGTTAAATTTAATTAGTTTTAGTATTATTATTTATTTAAATATAATTATTAAATTTATTATTAATAGATTATGATTTTTGTATTAATATTAAATAAATGCTTAATAATTTAACATTTTTAATTAAAAATTTTGGTGCAAATATAAAAAAAATTAATTGATGAAGAAACAGAAAGGTTAATTAATTAAATATACTAATAAAAATTATATAAAAATATAAATATAATTATTTAAATATATAAATATTAATATATTTTTATTATTTAAAGATATGATAGTTTTTTTCTAATAGATATAATTGGTAATTTAAGGTATATAAACAAATTTATTTGTAAATAGATTTAGAAAATAAAAAATTCTAATATTTGAGTTTGAATGTATATTTATATATATATGTGTTTATATATATATATATATATTTAAAAATAAAATACATACTAAATATTTATATATTATAAAAATATTATTATTATTATTATTAATAATAATATTATAATTATTATTATAAATAATAATAATAATAATAATAATAATAATAATAATAATAATAATAATAATAATTGTAAATAATTTTAAATATAATATTAATATGACAAAAATAATAAAAATAACAATATTAAATATTATAATAAATATGTATATTCCAATATAATATATTTTTAATATTTAAAATTCTTAAGAAATTAATAATAATTTATCAATATCTAAAATATATTTATAATAAAAATTAATATTTTTTATAATTTATTATAACATTTTATTTTTCTTATATTAATTATTATATTTTTAATTTTAATTGTAATAAATTAAAATTTTTAATAAAAAATATATTAAAATATTGTTATCTTTTTATAATATAATTTATTTATTATTTTTTTTTATATTACAAAATAAAATAAAAATTAATATATATAATTAAAAATTTCATTATAATATTTTATATAAATATATAAATATGAAAATAAAAGACAATATATTTCTTATAAATAGATTGCTATTTATTTATTTGTATTATCAATTTATATTAATAAAAATTAAAAATATTAAAATATTTTTATGTTAAACTAATAGTTTTATAAATCAATGAAACAATAATAAAATTCAATAATAATATTTTAAAATAAAAATATATTATTATTTTTAATATTTTAAAATATATATTTTTAATATTATAATATAAGCTTTAATTGATAAATAATCCTTATGTTTATTATAGTTAATAAAATAATATATGATTCTCTTATTTATATTATTTTTTAATACATTTATTATTAATATAAATATTAAATATTTTTTAAAAAATACTTTTTATTATTTATAATTAATATAAATAAATAAGATTTCTGATATTTAATTTAAATTTGATAAAATTAAAATAAAAAAAAATTAAATAAATTAAATAAATTAAATAAAATGATAAAAACATATTTACTATAATAAAACTATATTGTTTATATATCCTTTTATAAAGTTTATAAAATAAAATAAATTATTAAATTCGAATTTTAAAAAATAAATATTATTATAATAAATAAAAATATCTTTTTATTTAATTTTTTTTTTTTTCCATTTATTTTAACTAATATATTTTTTTTTTTCAACTATATTTATCTGATTTTCCTCTAAATTTAACAAAATCGAATTTTTTTGCTTAAAGTTATTAATCTGTTGAATTAGAAAGGAATTCTGTAAATTATTCAGGGAATTTTTAACAAAAAACAAATTAATTAATCCAAACTTTACAATTATATAAATTTCCATCACTTTTAAACATACATTCTCTTGCATCATTAAGTGAACCTAAGCATACTGGTTCAACTTTTGAACTTTTGAATTAATTATTTTTTTATTATTTTAAATTTAAATAAATAAATATATAAATATATAATGTACCCTTCATTAAAGCAATCAACTACTTATTTTGCTTATGATCTACATTCTTATGGATTTCTATTTATTGGAGTACCTGTTTATCTACAATCTTCATATTTATATACTTAGTCTCTGCAAACATCAAATGCATGCTATGCGTAAATTTATGCCTTTTTTTATTTTTGAATATATTAAAGATTATGAATTCTAATTTTTTTTTTGATATATTTTTTTGTGAAATAATAATATTTTTATTTTGAATTTTTTTTTTTGTTTAAATCTAATTTTTAAAAAAAAGTTAACCTCAAATGATTTAATATTCATTTGCTTTTTATTTATTTTTTTCTTTCTTTTATTTTTTTATTTTGTTTATATTAATTATTTATTTATATTTTATGATTTTCATATATATATATTTTTTTTTTTTTTTTCCTTAAGGTTTTTTATTTTTAATAAATTATTTTTATAAAAAAAATAAAGAATATCAAAATATTTTATTAATGAAAATTAATATGAATATCATTCATTATATTAAGTTCATATAATATAAAGAATATTAATATTTATAAACTCAAAATTATAAGTTTTTTTAATATTTAGATTGTAAAATTGTGATTTTTTTTAACAATTTTATTTTTGAATAAAATAGGGAAAAAATATTTTAATTTTATTAAAAAAAAAATATATTATCATAAAAATAAATATTTTATAATTATTATTTATTTTTGTTATCTTTAAAATATTATAAAAAAATAATAAAAATAAAAAATTAATTTTCATATAAAAAATAATAATATATATATTTATCAATTATTTTATTGATAATATCATTAAAGTAATTAAGCAGATTCATCATAAATAAAATCTTCTGGAGGTTATATATCATCATTTTAAGTAGGTTAAGGTTAAGGTTAAACTTGAGGTTGCTCTTATTTTTTCTATTCTCCTAAATATTTTTTTTCTTATTCTTATTAAGTATCATTCAAGAAAATAATACCGAATTTTCTATCTTTAAGTATAGGTTAATATCTATGATCTTAAATAAACTCGATATGCTTTTACTATTTTTCTAATACTCTACCTGGATTTTGTTAAATATAAAAAGTGGGTTCTTCTTCTTTAATTTCTTCTTTTTTATCATCTTATTTTTATTATTATGGTAATTCTTCTTCAATTTTATTATCTTTTTCTAGTTAATTTAAAATTTTAAAATATAAATAAATATATGCATATATATATATATATATAAATAACCTTTATTTGTTGCTCTTGTTTTAACTTTTACAGTAGTAGATAATTAAACAACTTCAACTTCTTTTTTATTTTTTCCATCATCAGGTTTAATATTTTCAGGGTAATCAAATAAACTTTTCTTGCAATTTATTTTATAAGAAAATTCTGTAGGAATTCTTAATGTTTAATCAATTCCAACAAGTGTAGAAGAACTAAGACATAAACTTAAGAAATTTACATAAGGGAACCAATACCAAAAATTAGTAAAAACAACCATTCCAACACAACTTGCCAATTTAGGAAAACCGGATCTGTTTTTAATATAATATATATATATATATATATATATATATATATTTATATATACTAAGATCCTAATCTAGCAACTTAATTTCTTCCTCCTGCCTCTAGTATTCCCATAGAAAGTACTGCACCTAATTTACATAAAATATCCTCATGTTTTTTTGTATAGACAATCTATAAAGTTTTCTTAAATTTATCAAGTTTTGGTTCTTATTTAACATTACATTATTACAATATAAGGGCAGTTCCAATCATGGCTCCTTATCTAACAAAATCAGTAGAATCAGTTAGCATAGGTTCTATCATATCTAAAGCCTCCTAAAATCCAGTTCCTGCGCATGCAATACCTAAAGCAATGGCAGTTCCGTATCTAACATGTGGATTATAACTCATTGCTAATAAACTCATTACTTAAGTAATTTATTCATATGAGTTAAACATTACAAATCCTAAACCAATAACAGCTGCTCTTCTAACATCATCTGCAACATCATCTACTGCATAATGAAGGAGTTGACGAATCGCTTTATTATTTGCAGTTCCAGCATATGCTAAACCTAAAGTAAGTGCCCCTCCATATCTTAAAATGAAGTCTTTTTCTTAAAGTTATTATTCAATAAGGGTATCAGCGTTTTATTCTTATCCAAATGAAATCAAAGCCAAAGCTACTCCTAGAGCCCTTATTATTTTCTCATGCTAAGTATCTTGACCGAATTTAAGTAATTCAGTAATTGCATTTTCATTATTTGTACCAGCCATTATTAAACCAATTGCTAATGCAGCCGATTCACCTGTTACGGCATTATTTATTAACATAACGTCTTTCAATTATTCGAATAATTCTATAAATATATATATATTAATTTATTAATATATATATATATATATAATATTTGCATTCATCTTCTGATGCTAATCCGCTTAAACCAATAGCTAAGCAAGCTCCATGCACTATAGCTTCTTAATTATTATGTTATGGGTTTTTAATAATTTCAGTGAAATATTTAATTAATTCTGGTGTTTTTTTACCCACATCCATTAATCCAATTCCATATAAAGAACCTCCATTAGAATAAAAATTAGGAGGATTAGTATTTCCCGGGAGGAAGTCTTTGAAGATTTTTTTGGGGTCTTCTTAACATGTAGAATATATCATACCTAAAGATGCCACTTACGAAAATCGGGCCCAAAGTTAACTTTTTTAAGCCCATTCGAGATTTTCACTTAGGAACTTCTAATCGGCAGTTCCGGCGGATAAAATAGCATTGCATAAAGCCACTGCAGTATGCGCAACCTATTTTTTAGTATCTACGGCTGTGAGGATTTATTTTATGAGGGCAGGATCAGATTTATTGAGGTATTTGAGGACTTCGAAATTTATTTTATTTTAAGTTTTTCCTTAAAGAATCTCTATAAGGGTACTTCTGTTATCGTTTTGGGGATCGACTGCTTCATTTTACACAGGAAGGGTTTCAATGACTTTTTTTACAAAACCATAGTTTTGGTTGTCTGATATTTCTACGGCTAGTTAAAAGGCTAAAGGTACATTTTTTTATAAAAGAGAATGCAAAAGTTACGCGAATTCTTCAAATAAACCTAATTTGTGATAACATAGGGAAAGATTGACATATTCTTCATTTTATAAACCTTAAAATGCTAATTTGGATTAGTAAAAAGAAATCAAAAGTCTAAGAATTTGATTTCTATGTAATTTATTTGATATTTAACGAGTACATACTTCATATAAATAATTCACTAAATCACCTCTTTTAGTTTCTTCCGCTTCTTCTAAGATTTATTTTATTTTATCACAACGTTAACTTTCAACTGCTATTCCCAAAGCATGTCTATATTCTTATTCTCGGATACATTTAGTGAACATTTTTTCAACAATTTCTGTATATTTTTCGTTTAGTTTTGAATCTTGGCCTGATTTGCGGTGTTCAATGTATTTTTCGATACAGGTAGAGACTAGCACTTCCACATATTATGATTTTTCGGTTATTTGGAAATAGGAACCAGATTCTAATGCTAGGTTTAATGATTCTTCGTATTCTTCAAGACAAAAGTATACTTTTGAAGCTAAGGAATAAGCTAAATCTCGTCTAGGGAAATTTAAATCATCATAAAGGTTTTCGCTTTATTTTTTAAATTTTTTTATGTTTTTTTTTTTTTTTTACATGTCAGTTAAATGCTCAGCTAATTCAGCCCAGTTAGAATCTACGACTTTTTCGAGTTTTTATAAACCTATTATTTTTAGTTAGTTGTCTTTTTCGGAAAGTAGTTGGATATATTATTTTGTCGACATTTTTTTTTATGTATTTAAATTGTTTTTTTTATTTACTTTGTTTGTATATTTTTTGGATTTTGTTTGTTTTTTTTTTTAATTATTTTTTTAAAAAGATTTTATATGTATAATATATTATAATTTATGTTTTTATATTTTATTTTCAAATTTTTTTTTTATTTAATTAGTAAAAATAAATAATTGTATTTTTTTTTTTTTCTGATCTCAATTTTTTATTTTATTTTCATTTATTTATTTAAGTTGCTTTTCTTTGTAAACAGAAAAATATTTCATATTAAAAAAATTTAATAAATCATTAATATAAATAATTTCAATATTATTGGATTCATCAAATATTTTTTACATTACATAATCATATTATTTTTAAGATAATATTATATTTAAATCTATTATACATTTCTAAAATATATATAATGTACATAAATTATCATCAAGGCATTTATTATAATTATTTTTAAAAAATTGTAAAATATTTAAATATTGTTAAGTAAAAATCTTTTATTTATTATTATTATAAAAAATAAAAATATTTATATAATGTTTTTACATTTGAAATTTCTTCTTGTATTTTTAATTATTATTATAAATCTAATAATTCATATTTTCCAATCAATTTTTTAAAAATAGATTTTATTATATTTGTTTAATTTTATAAATTTACATTAAATTTAATTTAATTTTCTTTATTATCTTCTACTAAATATCTAGCTATTAATAATGCTTCATAATTGTTATTTACGTTAAAAGGAAATCTTTTTTTTTTAAAAAAAAATAATTTTATATAAATTAAAATTAATATTTACTATTGTAATATTATTTGTAATTCATTAATAGATAACTAATTATAATTTTATATTAAATAATTATCTATATCTTTAAACTAAATTCTTTTTTTAATTAAGTTATGTTTAATATTTTTAGCTATAAAATCAATATCATATAAGTTTACTTGTTCAATTTATTTATTAATTTAGATTTATTTTATAGAATTATATTGGAAAGATTTATTTTCATATTTTTATTTAATATCTTTTATTGAAGATTATTATTATAAATCTTCAAATTATTATTATAACTATTTATATTTATCCTATAAATTTATCAATTTATATTAATCATATATAAACTATTTTTTTATTGCATTTTTTTCATTTTCATTTTTTTATTATTCTTACTTTTTATTTTTTTATTTTTTTAAATAATATATAAAATAAACTTGAAATTTTTCATTGTTTTTTTAAATTGTATCTAATTATTCATTTATTTTATCATTTTTTTCATTTAATAGTGTAGCCAGTTTACTATTTTCTTTAGTAATTTTTTCCAAATCTAGTTTAAGTTTTTATGTCAACTCCATTAATTCATTACTTTAAATATTTGCTTTTTTTCCTTAATTAAAAATAATTATTTGATTTTTTTATTTTCTTAGTTCATCATCTAATTATAAATTAGTATTTTATTATAAAATCAATTATTTTTATATTTTATCAATTTATGTTTTATATTCATTTACTTTAACCTTATGTTTTATTATATATATTTTTTTTTTTAAATGATTAAAAATTACTTTATATTATATAAATTCTTTTTATAAATTTTAAATAAATTCAGCCATATATATGTTATCTTTAATGACTTAATCTAATTCTACTTTTACATTTTTTTAGGAAGTTTATTTTTCTTTTTCTTATAAATTAAGCAATCTTTTACATTCTTAAGTTAAAACGTCGACTTAAATTTATAATTCTTATTATTTTGTAGTATTTGTTTATCTTTTGAAATTTTCTATTTCAATTTTTATTTAAATAAGTTCATTTTCTTTAATTTTCAATTGTTTTTTTAATTAAATTTTTAAAAAGTTCTAATTTTTTTTTGTTAATTGTATTTTTTTTTACATATATTAATAAAAAGAATTATGTTTATATATATATATATATAACTAATAGGTTTATTTTTATTAAAATTTTGTTTTTCTATAAAAAACACTTCTTTGATGCAATTCGAATATATTTTTTTCTGGTCTGTTTCACTTATTATTTTTTCTAATCTATCAATTTCTTTCTTTATTATTTTTTTATTATTTTTAAAAAAATGATAATATATTTAGTTAAATATTTTTATTTATCAAAAAAAAAAAAGAAGAAAAATACTTGTAAATTAATACATCTTGTTTTTAATTATATATTTTATTCTTCTAACTCATTTAATTTTTATTTTTATTAAAAATTTATTTATTGAAGTTATTCCTTAAATAAAATATTTTTTTTTTTTTTTTTTTATTATATACCTTATCATTAATTACTATTTAATTACTAGGAAGTATACTTTTGACAGACTTAGGACGTTATAATTACATTTATTATCTGTTAAATTTATTTATTTGAGTAGTTAAAGTACTTTTAAAATTAATATTGTTTTAATTATAAAGAGAATCCTAAGTATTTCTATATTATTAATTATTATGAAACTCATTCTATTTTTTTATTTTTTTGTAAAAACAAAGAGAAAATTTTAGATTTTAGGTTTACTTTTTAAGAATCTAAACTTAATTTTTTCTGAATTAAATATTTTTAATGATTCATTTTATTTTTTTTTTGAATAAAAAACAATATATTAAATTTTATTTTTTTATAATAATTAATAAAATTTAAAATAAAGTAAATTTATAGTTTAAAAAGTAAAAAATTAAACACTCTTAGATTAATTTGAAAATAAATACTTATTATTTATTTATTAATTATTGTTTTTTTTTCTTAAAAAAAATAATAATTAAAATTTCGTTAATTATTTTATTTTACTAAAAAATAAAAGTTAAATATACCGTTAAAAAATAAAAAAAATAACCAAATTTTTTTTTATAAAAAAATATTTAATTAATTTATTTTATTTTTAATTTTAGAATAAAGTTAAAAATTCTAAAATAAAAATAAAATTTTAACATATTTATTTTATAAGAATCTATAAAAGAATTAAATTTTATACATTCATCTTTTACCCAATATATAATATTATATAATATATTATATATATATATATATATATATATATATATATATATATATTCATATATATATATAAATGTTTTTTAAATACTTTTTTTAAAATATAATAATAAAAATAAAACATCAAACTTTAATTTCTTAATCTAATTAATCATTAATTACTTATTATTTTTTAACAGAATTATTTCTATTAAATAATTTAACAAAAACTGGCAAAAGTAAAGATTCAAATACTATATTAATAAATAAATTAACAAGTATAATTCCCAAAATAATCCACCTAAAACTATAAGGCATTTCTGATTATAAATCTCCTTTATCATTTTTGACCACATAAACAATTTCGAAAAATTCAGTAAAACCATCAAAATCTTAAAATATTATAAAGAGGGAAAATCCAATAATAAAGACTAAGAAAACAAAGAAAGGAAAATTTGTATAAAATTTCTTTTTATGCTTAGAATCAATTGAATAAGCTATAACCATAAAAATATATTAGAAATTAGTTACCCAATATAAAGCTGTAGAATCATAACAACCACTTAAATTATCATAATTAATTTCTCCGTCAGAATCTTTATTAATATCTAAGGTATTCATATACCAAGATTATTTTACTAAAATTCCTATAGTAAAAAGCTAAACACCTAATTAAATAGCACTTTAACCAATAATCGAGATAATTACTTCAGCTGAAATAAGCTCACAAGTAGGAGTTTATTTTTTTAATTTTTAGGATGGTTTTCCCATTCCTAAAAGAAAAGATAAAGGCAAAATAATAAATAAATCCCACATCAAAAATTATTTATCAGCAGGAAAGCTTTACTAATAATACAAAATAGTTGTAGTAAAACATTAAATAATACTATATAAGGCCATATATTTAAAACATTCAAAAGAAGTTTACAAAGAAGCCCTTCCTTCTCTTAAAAGACGATGTACACAAGCAATATTTTACACTTTGGAAGTGAAAGGAGCGGCTATAGATGTATCTGTATTTGAAAGAGAAATCCCCATATCTGCCTCTTTTAAAGCTCCACAGTCATTTGCACCGTCTCCACACATTCCTGTGAATGTATGCACATTTTCATTTTCCTATTAAATAAAACTTATTAAATTTTATTTTTAATCAGGAGTCATTCTGGCATAAACTTTTGTATTTTTCAAGATGAAACGCCTTAAATTAAAATTGTCTTCGATATATTATTTGAAGAAGGTTCCTGTAACAGTTAATTATTTTCCATCTAACTAATCTAATTTTTTTTCTATTTCAAATTTTTTATTGTTCAAAATACACTCATTATTCAAATATTCCAAAATATTACTTTATTATTCGAATTCGATGATATCGCATTACTTAGCTACATAAGTTGCAGTCAAAGGATTATCACCTGTGACCATTATACTCCTTATATTTTATGAATTCAAAAGATTTATATGATATTTTGTCACATCTTTTAATTCATTCTCAAAAATCAAAAAACCAGCAAAAACATGATTTTTTTCGTAATAATCTCGCTTTTCTCCTTCTTAAAAATTTTAAATTTCTGAAAAGGAAATTCCAATCACTCTGTAACCTGAAAGTGTATATTATTCTAGTACTTCCTTATAATTATGAGGAATAGACTCTTATTTACATTATTAAACTATTTTTTCTGGAGATCCTTTACTAAAAATATATTTATTCCCTTCAAATTCTGCTATTACACTTGCTTTTTGAAGTTCTGCTAAAAATTGAAATCTTTTTAAAATTTAAATTTTTAGCTTTTAAGTATTTTTCTCGACCAAAATTTATCCATTTTATCCACTTTCGGCTATATAAAATCCTGAATATTTAAACATTTCAATATCTAAAGGATCTCCAATTAATTCATTATTGAAATTTTCTATAGTATGGCATGCAGAAATAATAATCCTGTGAATATAATTACCCATTTCTATCAGATTTAAAGCCTCGATTTCCTTTAATTCTTTTTTTTCATAACAAATAATTCTTTTGAAAGAAAGGCCTTCTTCTGTTAAAGTGCCTGTCTTATCAAAACAGACTGTTTTCACTTTTCCACAAGCATTTATTTTAGGAGGATTTATACAGAATATATTTTATTTTTTTAATCTTCTTAAAGAAAAAGATACTCCAAAAGCCAAACAAGTCGGTAAAGCTGGTGGAACAGAAATTGTGATCAGATCTAAAATTCTAATAACAACATCTACAGGTAATATAGCTTATTAGTCTAAAAGTTCAATAAATTTAGGTATTGTGATTAAAAAAGCTATGAGTGCATTAAAACCTAATATAATGATGAATTTCATTGATTACTTTTAGAATGAAAATTAATTAGGCTTCAATGGGAACATTATACTTCTTAATAAATTGCCTTTTAGAGTATCAAATGATGTTCTAATTACAATACATTTAAGTTAATCTAATTATAAAATACGACTGCCTGAATATATTATAGACTATTTATTTTCCTAAAAAAGCTCATCACTGTTTTCCATTAAAGTTTTAATTACTGGAATACTTTCACCTGTCAACATGGCTTCACTTACAATTGCTGAACCTCCAATAACTGCAAAATCGCAAGGAATTATACTATTAGTTTCCAAAAAACATACATCACCAAAAGTCAAATTTTCAGAAGAAACAATTGTTTAGACATTATTTCTTAAAACCTTAATTTAAATTTTTTGATTTTCGCTTAATTTTACAATTTTTCGAATATTTTATTTCGTTTAGAATAATTCGATAATTAAAGAAAAAGTTGCTGAAATCAAAATTACACTTGCATATATATTATATTTTTCAAAATACCATAAAATTACAGAAAAAATCTAAAAAAGATAAAATGGAGTCAATATCTAATCTAAAAATATAGCAAAATAACTTGGTTCAGGTATTTTACTTTCATTTAGTCCATTTTTTTAACTTGAAGTTTTTATTTGAGATGTATTCAAGCCTTCACTGAATTTCTTTAATAGATTATTATTTGTATATTCGCATACTTAATCGCATAATGGAATAAATATGTTATTTTATGCTTTAAATCTAAAATATCTAAAACTGAATGTCTTTATTAATTTATCTTCTACATTTTTTTCTTTGATTTCTTCTATATGTAAACTTTTAGCTGGTCCTATAATGTATACATGTGTCGCATCTTCTATATTTTAGCATACTTTATATAAAATGACTTTTTTCCAATTAGTATTCCATTTAAATAAAAGAAAAAAAATTCCACCAGATAATAAGTAGATTAGAATTTCAAATATAAAATGACACTTTTTTAAATATTGTATTTCTTCGAAAATTCCCTCGGCTTATGTATTCTTATAAAGGATAAAGTTTTTGTTATTTTCAGATTTGCTTTGTGGATTTCGAGATTATGTTTATGGATTTTAGGATTATTTTTGACTTTAGTTTATATTTTAGGTATCTTAGGCTCGAGTAGTATATTCGTTTTGGATTAAGGGAGGATTTGCTTACTAGAATTTTTTTTATACAACTATTGACATTTCTGTACTCATTTGTTTTTAAGTTTTTTTTTTTTTTTATTAATATATATAAATATTAATAAATTATATAATTTTTACTTTTTTTAATATAAACTTGCTTTATTATTATTATATATTAATTATTTTTTATGTATATATATATATAAAAAATATATTTGATATAAAGATTAAATTTTCTATTTATTAAATAATTAAAGTAAAAGTAATATTAAAAATTATAATTTTATTAATTTCAATTGATTATTTTATTTTTTTAGAAATTAGTTTCAATTAAAAAAAAATTATTTTTAAATATATTAAATATATAAATATATTAAATATTTTTATTTTTATTTATATTAAAGCATATAATAATAGAAAAAATATGATATTTTAATCAAAATACGTCTATAAATTTTAAAATTTAAATAGATTATTGTTTATTTATTATTATTTTATATAACTTTTATATTTGTCTTTCCTATTATTTATTTCGTTTTATTTTTTGAAAAAAAATTTTAACTTTTATTTACTTTTCTCAATTATAATTTTTTTTGATTATTTTTGAATTATTTTCTAAATTGTTCCTTATTTATAATCTAATTTTTTTAAAAAATATTTAAATTATTCTTTTAGATTTTCTTTATTAATTTTAATATCTTTATTTCTATTATTTCTTTTAATAGTTCTTTTTATAAACTCTAACTTAAAAACCAAAGTTAAAATATGATTTTTTAAAAATATTGTTTTATGTATTTATTCATTCATAAAAAAGAAGAATTAATTTTATAAAGGAAATATATTTTTTAACCCTTTTTTTATAATTAATTTATACTAAATTTCTATAAAATTTAATATATAACTTAACTTGAAAAAAAATACATATATAAAATTGATAAGATAAATATATATTATTTCAAATATAAATTTTTTAAAAATAATATTTATTTAATACACCATTTACTTTCAAAAAATTAATTAAAAAAATAAATTTCAACTCTTTTTAGAGTTTTTCAAAAAAAAAAAAAAAAATCTATTATAATGTTTCAAACAATATTTTTAATTTTCAAAAATAAATTATTATTTTTTATGATTTTGATAGCTTTCTAAAAATAATTTTATATTAAAATTAGAATTTTAGTTTTTAAATACGCAAGATGCAAACAACCTACAATATAACAATTCCTTTATTCAAATTTAAAACTTAGGTTTATATTTTAAATTCTAATCATTTGTAATCTTAATTAATTTCTTAATCTTCTTACCCATATAAATAAAAATTATTAAATGCTATAGCATTAATAAAATAAAAAAAAAATATATAGTTTATATTCAATCATTTGTGCCAAATAAAAAAAATTAGGTTATTTTTATTTATATTCTAAATTCTAATAAAGAACCTTATTTTTATTTAAAATATAAATAAGGAGTCATTAACAAATCTAATATAAATTATAAAAGAACTAAATATTTTGAATGAAAATAATTAGTTGAATATCTTTTTATATATATAATTATTTATTATTCGTAAAAATTCTGATGTTTTTAATTTTTCTATATAAAAAAAATAATTATGATAGTATAAAAGTAAAGTTTCTAAAAAATAAAACTAAATTAATATAAAATTAATAATAAAAATTAAATTAGTAAATTATATAAATTTAATCTAATTAATTTATTTAATTTTTTCATATAACTAAATTATTAAATGAATCTAAATATTATAATTCATATAATAAATAAATAAATTTTTTTATAGAAACGTTTCTTAATAAATTATAGAAAAAAAAAAAAATAGTTTAAATAAATATATATAGTTAAATGTGTAAAATTATATATATATATTATATTTCTATATATTTTTATATATTTAATATTGAAGCAAAATAATTTTATATAATATATATATAATTATTAATTATAATTTTTATATTATTTTTTCTTTTAAATAAGAAAAATAAAATTAAATAAAAACATATTTATAATATAAATTTAAAATTAATTGATAAAAATAAAATTATATTTACTATTGCATTGCTTATATAAATAATAAAATATACTATTTATATATTTATAATAATTATTGGAATTATTTTTTAATTTTTTTTTTTTTTTTCAAATATAATTATTTATTAAATAATAATATAGAATTACTAATATAAATTATAAATATATTGAAAATTATTTTAATTAAATTTGTATAAAAATTTATTATTTATTTTTTATTCATTATTTTAATATTTTTTTTTTAAAAATAAAAAAGTAAAAATTATTGTTTCCACTAATTTTATTATTTTTTTAATTTAAAAAATACATTTATATATTTCACATAAATATATTAATTATGGTTTTTCATTTCCTTATAATCAAACATAATAGTTATACTAATCTTGAAGAATATCAACTATTATTACTATTATTATAAATTAAATTTTATTTAAATACATAATGCTCACTCAAATAAATGATTATTTATCCGATTAACTTAATAAATAAAAAATCAATTTATATTTTGACAGATTGCAGATCAATAATAAGTTATAATTATTTAGTATTTTATCCAATTCCTTTTTTTTTGATATTTGTAACTAAGTTCCAATTTCAAGAACTATATTTATCAGGATTTTGTAACAGAACCAATGTTATTGTTTTCAAAGAAGACAATTTCAATATTATAATTTATAAAGGGAGAAGAGATACGAAGTGATACTATGTTTGCTATTCATGAATATAAGCGGTTTTTAGCAATTGATGATAATATTGCCCTTATTAGATGTACAAGAGCGGATTATAACTATGTAAATTTAAATTAATTTACCTATTCTGGAAGTAATATTAACGAGTATGTGAGAGTGGAACTATAGAACTATACTCATCTAAGCATTATGTGTCTAGTATATTGAATTATCTGCCTTGGGAATTTTACGATTTGTTTACTTTTAGCAAAATATTAATGATGCCAGATAGTTTAACGATTGTATTTAGAAGTTATTATGATATTTGTCTTATAGTATTTTTATTATTTATGGAAATATTGTATATGATTCAACTTTAAATAGAGTTCCAGTGGTTAAAAAGATAGATTAAGAATATAAAATATTAAACACTTCCTATAACTGATCATAGGTTCCGAAAGTATTTTTTCAAAGACAAGCCATGACAGAGGATGGTGATAATTATTAATATTTATATTCAATTGAAAGAGTTATTTGTAAAGATTCTGAGTATATAATCAGTTGTCTATAATACGTTTAATGTAAAAGTAATGAGATTTTTAAAGGCAATATATGTGCAACATGCCCTAAAAGTACTTTTAAGGAAAATATTAACGATAAAATATGTATGAAAAAATTTATATTATGCATTAATAAAACTAATTGCACTATATGTAAATTAAGATTATTATAAAAATAGTTCAATAAATTTAAACTTTGTTATATTAATTGTAAAACTTACGAACGCAATTTTATAGATTATATATTTACTTTTTATGTTTTTTTTTGTCTAAAATTTTATAATTAAAACACTAATCATGAAACACTAGTCATGTATTGATGCTAGGAATAGTAATTATTATTTAAATACTATTATAATTAAATTGCCTTCATTTAGGGTTCTGCTTATTGCGAAATTTCGAAAAATACTTGCCTAACTTATAACGAAACGAATATACGGAACCTACGAAAAAATGTTATCCGAGTAATATATCATGTACTAATAAACTTCATGTTCTATAAGTATTTAAATTATATTACTAAATATTGTTCGCCTTGATCTGCTAGTTGTAAAACTGTGATGATAATCATTCTACTTTTACATCTTATAGTAAGCAATGATATTTAAATACTGCTAGTAAAATATGTGAAAATTAAGACGCGAACTATTAGACAATAAGCTAAGGTGAAATCCTAAAAGACAAGTGTACGAAATATTTACCTATTATGTTTCTCTCTTAAGACCGAAAATGTATTTTTTTGTTAATAAAATTAATATGGAGAATTTTAAGCTCACATTAATATTGTAACACGGCTTGCCTTACTTTTTTAAATGCCGTTTTGTGTAAAGCATGTAATGTAGAATAGCATAAAACACAAAGAGTGGTTTTGTGAAAAACGTGATAATAATTATGAAACCTGTGAAAACGGTATAGTTAACAATTAATGTGTTACATGCAATAATCCTTAAGTTCTTTTATAAACTAATAATTTTTTTTATAAATTTGATAATAAATAATATCTAGATGTAAATAAAATTTACCAATTATGCAATTCTTCGTTTATTTATTGTTTAAATTCTAATACATGTAATTCTTATGTTGAAGGTAGATATTTGGTACTTCGAAATGTGAATTATGTGACTTAAATTGTAAGACATGCATAGAAAAGGACAAATGCTAATCTTGTGCATAGAATTATTTTTTAAACTAAAATAAATAATGTATATAAGAATGCGATTAATATACTTTTCCAGATTCTAATAGAATTTGTTAACCATGTCCTTCTAATTGTTTAAATTGTAAATAATTTAATGAATGTACAGAATGTTTTTAGGGACTCTGAATTAAAGAAGTTATTTGCTCTGAGAATACTTATTTTGAACAAAATTAATGTAAAACAGAATTTTCTTAAAGAAAATTTAATAATTTGGCAAATAATAGATTCGATTCTTACTATATTACAAGTAAAAATGCACAAAAGCAGCTAATAATAAATAATTGAAATGTGAAAATGGACTTTTTTTAAATGATGACGGTAGATTAAAGAAATAAATATAAAAGTCACATACTACTTTCAAGTTTATTTTAAAGTGTATCTCTTGATTAAAACATATATATATATATATATATATATATATATATATATATATATATATATATATATATATGTATATATTATTTGCGTCTATATTTTGCCGTTTTTTAAATACAGGCTATATTTTTGGAAACAGAAAAGCGAATAATTTCGAAGAAACAGGAAATAAATCTACAATAGCAAAATTTTAAATAAGACAAGCAAATAAACAGATTAAAGTAGAAAAAAGAATATAAGGGAATAAATATTAATACACAAGAATTTATTTTATATAATTTAAAAATAATGTTAACAATTTACTTATAAAAAGCAGACTGACTCAAGTTTTGAATCGGAAGACTTGAAATTATAAATAAAAAAAACATAATTTAAATTTTCGGGATTCACTTCTGTATTAATTATAATAATTAGAGAATTTAGAAAATAATTAAAATGTAAAAAAGAAAAAATAAATTTATATAAATTGTAATAATTTAATTGTCTTAAACATAAATCAATCATTTATTTAATAATTATATTATTATTAAATTGGAAATCATGAAATGCCGTAAATTTTAATTTAGCTGATAAGAATGAATTATTAAAATAAAGAATGAAAATATATTAATATTTCTTATAAGAGAAAAGAAAAGGATTTTTTCTTTATTAAGTCAACTATTAATTTATTTTTTCTTTAAAATAATATCTAATATATATATAATAATTTATATCAATAATTTTTTTTATTAATTATAGAAAATAAATTCCGTGCTTTTTTGTTATAATGATTTTCAAATAAAAAGAAGTAGATAATCATTCTTATAAATTTATATATAGAAATTTAATATAAAAAAAAATCTTTTTTTTAAAAAAATTTTTTGTTAACTTTAAATAATTTTTTTTATTTTTTAGTTAAATAAAAAAGAAAACATTAATTTTATATTATTAATGTAAAATAAAATATGTATATAATAATAATAATTATAATATGTAGAATTAAATTTTTTCAGAGACATCAATAATATGTAAAAAATAAAAGAAATAAATAAAATATATAAAAATATATTTATTAAATAAATTATATTTTTAATAAAATAATTTAACCAAAATATTTTTTTTATTTTTTTGAAAAAAAATATAAATAATAATATAAATTTAATTATCAAAAAAATGCATAATTTTTAAAATTATTATATTATATAAATTTAATTTAAGTTTTTTTGATTTTAAAATAATCATTTTACTTTTATATATATATATATATATATATATATAACCTTTCAATTTATAAACTATTTATATAAAATATTTTTTTAAATATAATATAAATTACATCCTAAAATAAATATTTTCGATTTTTATTTATTTTATATATTTTAATTTTTTTTTTTTAAATAATCATATATCCCTATTAATGTCATTCTTATATTTTTAATTCTTATTCCTTTTAGAAGCATTATCTTTTGCCGAAATTACATCATGGACTGAATGTGTTTTATGATATTCTAATGAATTTCTTCTTGCTGCTTATTTTACTGAATTTTAATTTGATGTTTGTTTTTCACTTGTAGCCTTTATTTTATTATTTGTATTTAAGCAACCCATTTACTAATTTTTTATAATTTTTTTTTTTTATTAGGGAAATTAATTTTTTTTTTTATTATTATACTTATATTAATTGCTTTAATAGTTTTTGAAATTTTATTTTATTTTTTGTTTGAAATTTCTTATTTTATTTTTTTATTCATATATTTGAATAAATAAAATTTTAATAATATTTTCCCTTTTTTAATAAAAATATATAAAAACTTATATTTAAAGCAAAATCAACTAAACATAAATAATTTAAATTTAAAGTAAATTTAATTAATATATTATATTAATTTAAAAGAACTGTTAAAAAAAAATATATAGATTAGAATTTATATAATATAATTATATAATTATATAAATATTTTATACTTTTAGGATTTTTATATTTTTATAAAAAGATAAAAAATCAAATATTATATATAGCATAAATATTATTAAATTTAAATAAAATAAAATAATTTATTTTCTATAATATAATAAAAATAAATATGATATAATTATGAAGAGAAACGAATTTTATGCAAATAATATAAAATAATTAATCCTGCTAAGATAAATTAGAATTTAAAAACTTTAATAATGCCAAAAATACAAAGTTATTAATTAATAGTAAAAATAAAAAATTGTTTCAAGATAAAGTAAAATATATCTAAAATTAATAAAAAGATAAGTATAAAGATCAATTAACGAACACATTTTTATAATAAATAGATATATTTATTTAAAATACTTAATTAAAAAAATATAGCGATAAAATATTTAATAAAAAAATAAAGTCTGTGATTATTATAAATATAAAAGTTTATAATTTAATATTTTGAATGTATTTAATAGATAGCGTATTTAAGAAAAAAATCTAAAATAAAATATACTAACAATAATAAAATTAAAAAAATAATTAATTCAGAATAAAATATTATAAGAAATAATAAAAGTTTATATATAAAATAAACATTCAATTACATTGAAAATAATAAAAAAAGTTATAAACTATCAATAAACTAAAATATAAAATTAAAATTTTAGTATTAAAATATACATATAATAAAACTATTTAATAAATTAAAAAAGAATTTAAAAAAAAAATATTAATAATACATTTATAATTATTTAATTCAATTTTACAATTTAATTTTTTCTTAATAATATCTCCAAAATTACTTACTTTTAAAGGAAGACTTTCATCCTCCCTTTCTGGTTACATATATATATAATTTTCATCAGGTTAATCTTTTGCATCTTCTATGGAAAGCTAAAATGAAATACAAAACATTAATTTTGACGCAGTGACATTTTTAATGACATTAAAATGCTGAATATTTTCTTTTTTAAAAAACCTCAGTTTTTTCTATATTCTTTTTTCCACTAAATTTAAACAATCTTCTCCTTCTGTTTCATTTACGAACCCTGTAGCATGAATAAACGGCAAATTATTTTCATTCCAAATATTCTTATCTCCCTTTATTAGTAATCCTTTGAAAACGTCAAAAAACTCAATATTTAAAACAGGTAAATTCATATAAATATGATCGAAATGCCAAAATTATTCAGGGTATTTTAACTTCTCTTTTCCTAATAATAAATCAACTATTTTTCTTGCATCATTATTAAAACATAAAGTTCTATCTTCTACATGATTATTTTTACGATTTATTAACAAATAATCATAACAAAAAGGATTTAAATCATTACAAATTACATTACAACCTATTTTTGCTGCTCTAATTATATATATATATATATAAATTATTTTTTAGCTTTCTAAAAAAATAACCTTATTGCTAAAGGTCCTACACCACAAAATAAATCTAAAATAGTTTAATTTGGCTTGAAATTTTAAAGAACTCTGTCTCTTTCAGTTATTAATCGACTACACCAATATACTTTTTCGAAATTTAAAGTAAAAATACATTTTCCTTCATTTACTTTGGTTTCTAAATTTGGGTTGCCTGCAAGAATTTCTAATTCTGGAGTTCGATATATATTATGAAGTTTTTCTAATTTATTTACTACTGTTTTTATTGATTTTATTTTTTCGATTAAAACTTATCCGATTAAATATTTGTAAGGAAATTACTTTTTTTTTTTTTTTTTTTCTAAAAAATAAAAAAAGAAAAAAATTTTAATATTTTTATTTTTTACATTTGGTTTTAAATTAAAATGAGCTATATGACCTATAGTTTCAAATCCTGATGGAATTCCGAATTCAAGAGGTATTATTTTTTCTAATATTTCATTAATGGTAAAATCATCAAATTTTAAAGTGAGTTCTTTTTCTAATATTTCTATGTCTGAGTTTTCAGATAAAAAATCTAATAAATTTTTCGGCCAGTCTATTTCTTTTTTTTCCAATTTTAAATTTTAGTCTAAACATATTAATTTATGCTCATTGTTTAAAGGAAGTACCCTTTTAAAACTTTGGCGTTGAAATAAATAAGATTTTAATTTTTAATTTATTTCATATATTTGTTTTGTTTTAACTTTTAAACAACATACTTTAATATTTTCACTAAAATCTTCTTTTATAAATTTATCTTTTGTATACATTATTTTTATATTTAATTATTTTATTTTTTTACATTATAATTAACTTGATTAAAATCTATTATTATTTTTATATTATAATTTATAATATTTTTTTTATATATAATTATAAAAAGCTTTTTATTTTATTAATAGGCAATTAAAAATATTAATAATATAAATTATTATATATTAATTTATATAATTTATTTAAATATTATTTTATTTTAAAATATCTTGAAATTTATTTTTATTCAAAATTTTATTTAATGATTTTTAAAAAGATTAATATTCTTTTATAAAAAGTTTTTTTTATAGTAAATTTAATTTAATAGATGCATTCTATATGCACTGATTTACATTAAATAAATAAAAAAAAATTAATAAAAATATAGATAAATAATTATATTTTTAAAAATAAAATAAAAATAATTTTCTAAAAACATTAATAGATATATATATATATAAATAAAGATATTTATTAATATTTATATTTATATATAAATATATTTATATTTATTAAAAGAAAATTAAAAATTAATATATATAAATTTATTATAAATAAAAAATAATATATATTTAATTAAAATTATAATAAAAATAAATTAAAATAACTCTAAATAATTAAACATTTTTAAAAATTAATAATATTAAATATATAAAAATAAATAAATAAAAATTTAATAAAAAGACAAAATAAAAAATAACAAAATAATAAAAAATAAATCAAAATAAAACAAAAATAAATATAAAAAATAAAAAAAAATTACTATATTCTATTTAATTTATTAAATAAATATTATTATATATAAATATAAATATTATCAATTTTTTTTATTTTTTTTTATTTCATCTATGATATTTTACTAAACAAAAGTATAATTTAAGAAATACTACAATTTATCATTATTTCCTTTTATTTTTCTTACACTTGAACAATAATTTAAAAAAGAAATAATATTTTAAATAAAAATAAAATCAATTATAAAAGCTGACAAATAACAAACAGACCATTTATAATCTTTATTATTATTAATTATTTTACACTATTTAAAAATAAACAAAATAAAGAACATTAAAAAAATGACTATAAAAAACAATTTAGAAACTATATAACTACTACAGTTTAAAAAATTTAATTTTTCAATAATTTTTTTCAAACATCCTTTAATCAATATACACATCAAAACTAAAATACCCATTATAAAATAACCAAAAATAAATTAATAAAAACAAATTAGCATAATTAAGCATTATTTAAAATACAATAGTAGAACTTTAAGTACAGAGTTTGGTGAATTGCCTTATAACATATACATTTCCAAAAATTCATTCGCAATAATTGTAAAATATATTTTCTAGTCATAATTATTATAATCAGGATTTATATTAATTTAGATAAGTGTATTTATACTGTTTCTTTAATTATTAGGTTCATTAACTTTTATAACAGTTGAACCATTTTGATCATTCATAATTTTTTATTGAGTTTATTATTTGTTATAATTTTAATATCCAATCATATCTATTTCAGGACTAATTTAAGTTTAATTGGTAAAATATTTTTTTTTTGTTGAATTCATATCATTTTTATTATTCTTTTTTGCGTTTACTGTTTATTTTTTTTATTTTATTTAATTTGCTTTTTGAATTTCTTATTTGGAACTTTACCTTTTGTTTTCATTACTTATTATATCTTCTACCACAACCTGATTTTCTACGTTTTTTGTTTAAGTTTTTGCTTATTTGGGTTTACATTCTGTTTTTCCTAAATTTTTTGACCTATTATCTAAGAAATGGCAAATTATACACGCTATGAATGTATATATAGTAATTATGAGATATATTTTAAATATTAACTTACTAGTAGCATATGTTTCTTATACTTATTACATACATTTACCATCATCATTCAAAATAAGTCCATATTCGCATTCTAAACATTTATTTGCTTCTGTGCATTTTTTGCATGTAACATGGCAAGGATCACATCTATTATTCATCGAATTTTTAAATTTTTTTTTAGAACATTCTGTTTTACATTAATTTTATTCAAAATAAGTATTTCCAGAGCAAACAACTTCTTTAATGCAGAGTCTATTAGATAAATAAAATCCCTAAAAACATCTTGTACATTCATTAGATTATTTACAATTTAAACAATTAGAAGGACATGGTTAACAAATTCCATTAGAATCTCGAAACTTTTATTTATCACATTCTTATATACATTATTTATTTTAGTTAAAAAA